CTGATGGTGAATGGTGCTATAGTAATATATGAAGGTGCATTTCAAAAAATTATTTGGAGACATTCAAAAAAGATAGAGAGCATCAATATCTCGCACAGACCCAGAAACACTAAATGAGCCAGGCGACAAAAGTATCCAACAATCCGAAAAGCATAAGGAGTTAATAATTTGGAGCCGCGGCCTAGAAATATAAGGATTACTCCTTGCGTTGCTGAAAATATGTGTCATTAAGTTACTCGTACTGCTTTGCTTAATGGAAGACTATGAACACTTCACATGTCAATAAGACTTTGCTGTGACCATCTTCCACCCTCACATAGACCACTACTGGAAATAATCGGCCAATAATAATAATAATAATAATCAATCGATGGTTGAATGAAAATTTTTAATTGATTATTTTCTATTTACTATGTTTCTCTGTTTTTATTATTATTGTTGTTTTTGTTTTACGTTTTGTGTTAATTATTTAATACTAGGCGAAGCGACGCCAGAAACGTTTAGTTATTTAAATGTAGAGACATTTAAATGGTGTTGTAAGTTGCAAGATTAGTTTTTATATAACTAGCTCACTGTTTGTCTTCCAAATAAAATATAACTAGATGATGACCGGGCTTTGCTCGGCTTTTTTTTAATAACGCCATCTTGTTGTTTCTTTAAAGCAGTAAAAATAGTATTATTATTCGCCAATAGATGTCGGGAAGAGTCATAAAGTTGATTATTGAAAACACGAATAAAACAACATTTTCTGAAAATAAATCGTAGCTAGATCGATTTATCGCCCCTGAAATCCCCTGTATACTAAATTTTATGAAAATTGTTGGAGCCGTTTCCGAGATTCAGATTATATACTGATATATATTAATATACAAGAATTGCTCGTTTAAAGGTATAAGATAAATAAATAAAATAATTCCAACACACTTGCACATTATCAAGTATTCCTAGTATGATTTAGACCGCGACAAATAAACACGCAAACCTGCATATACACGAGCACAGTTCAGCCGATGCCTACTGGTAAGGACTATTTTACTATAGCTTGTTAGAAGGATATGTCATTGCGCTTAGAAAGTACCGTAAATCCTTCTAGAAGTTGATTTTAGAGGCGAACGGTACGTGGCAAAAATGAATTCGGATAACTTGAACTGTGAAGTCTCTGGCGCTCGTGATTTGCACCGCGCTCAGAGCCGCGGTGGATGCGCAAGTCACTGGGTGTACAGTTATCGCGGGTTAAATGATTTATACATCGCGCACTGACGAACACGGGGCCTTAGAATAAACAATGTTAGGTTATGTCGGCATTCTCGCTTGTCTGTCTAGGATGAATGACTTGATCTGATGTCACGCAGAGCGTTCTGTTAGGACGTCTCTCCGTAGCCCGTGGGTCCTTTTTTAAAAAAACTACAGCTTTACACTAACTTTATTCACAAACTAGGCGACTTGCCCGCTTCGCTTGGCATTTAAAGTTAACATTATTATTTATTGTCATTATTATTAGGGAGTCCAACACCTATCCATTAAGTACATGTATTTTCTACATGGATACCAAGTTTCAAGTCAATCGGATGCATGGTTCAGTAGTTATAACGGAACATCCGTAAAAACCACTGTAGATTTATATATTAGTGTAGATGAATGATCAACGATGATGAAAGGCAATTACATGCAGCAGAGATGCGAATGTTGCAATGGATGTGTGGAGTAACGAGAATGGATAGAATACGGAATTAATATGTTAGAGCAGGCCTGGGCAAATGGCGGCAAATGGTAGAATTTTATCTGGCCCGTGAAGCATTGTCGCAAACATCAAATGAAACTCACGAAACTCAGTGGGCTGTTTCTATAGGTTAATTTACTCGTCGAGTCCTTCGTCGCAAGCGATGAGTTCGGCGAGGACGGTAACCGGTGCTTGAGGTACCTAAAATCACCGTTAATGGATTCGGGAGGATCTATAGTAATGTGTTTAGGGCGACGTCGACTGTTTCCCATTCGGTCTGCAGGATCGGGTATGCGATAGCTTTTACATTGCTAAGTCCTAGTTCGTAAACTTGTCAAGTTTGCAGTTGCGTGTACAGGCGTTCTGTCATTCAATTTCAATCTCCAGAGGCGGATTCAGCCCTGAAAATGGGGATTAACAATATTTTATTTATTATCTGTGATTGAGAAACCAAACGAGGCTAGCTGATTACATAAAACCGTTTTTAATGAAACAATTTTCTTCAATAAGGTACCCTCGGTTTAAATTAAATACATTTGACCTTTGTTTGTCCTCAATCATTGGCTTTTTTTTTTCAAAGAGACACTCTAACCTATTTGTTAGTATTCTCTGTCTACCACTAAAATATCAGTCTTGTTGGACTTTTTTGCAGGAACACGGCATCAAATATGTGTGAATTGTTTTATTGTTTATTTAGTCTTTCGTCGAGTTTAAATGTGTAATAACGGTATTTAGCGCCTCTGAAAGTGAACAAATATAGATTTTTTATTTATAACAGAATATAATATAGGACTTGGCTTAAAGGTCTTGTTAGCAGGCCATAAAATCAGTTCACACAGCTGCGCTCTTCGCGTTCCCGCCTAAAAGTCCTGGATGAAAAAGTGTAATTACAGAATTTAGCCTTGCGAAAAATTTGTCACTGAAATGAAAAGATGCAAATGTGTCTTTTCATTACTTTGAACTATATCCATCTTTTAGTTCAGTAATTCAGTATAGTTCTTTAGTAAACAGATTGTAAAATAAATATCAAGGCCACGGTTTCACTTAATTATACAGACGCCAATTTGAAAAGCGATATTTTCAATTATATATCAAAAACTAATAACGGTGGTTTATTAGCCATTTAATGTCTGTGAAAGTGCACAAATGTGAGAAAATGACACAAAGCCGCTGGACGTAACTTCTCGGGATTCTCCAAAAAATCCACTGGAAAACTCTCAGTAAATGACCACCATTTTACTGAGATTATATTTCATCACTTCATTTCATTTAATTTCATCCCAGTTGATTAATGCTTCAAATTAATCATCATCATTTCATTTCACTCCATATTATTTTTTATAAAAATAAGGATATATATTAAAATAAGAATATTAATAAAAAATAACTAGACGATGACCGAGCTGTGCTCGGTATTATTATTTTTTTGATAAATTGTGTTTTTTAGAAATATTATTTAAATACGAATTACATATTGATAAAATGATGAAATATTCCAAGATTGTTTAGGTATTTTTAAGTAAACACGGGAGTTAAAAAGACACAAATAATATAAATAAACAATTCATTTTCTTGGTCTAACCTTAAACCAAACACTCATTGGCTTCGGGTGGCTTAACAACGCCATCTTCTGAAATAGCTTTAGTGTTATTGTCTATACAGCAGTTATTTGCTCTCAATTATGAAAAATAGTATTATTATTTGCCAATAGATGTCGGGAAGAGTCATAAAGTTGGTTTGATAAAGTTGATTATTGAAAACACGAATAAAACAACATTTTCTGAAAATAAATTGAAGCTAGATCGATTTATCGCCCCCGAAATCCCCTGTATAGGTAATAAATTTTATAAAAATCGTTGGAGCCGTTTCCGAGATTCAGATTATATATATATACAAGAATTTCTCGTTTAAAAGTATTAGATAAGTTTATCTTATACTTTAATTTAATTTATTTTATTTTTCAATTATTATAATATATTTTTTTACTTTTACCCATTCTTAACTATAATACTAAATTGTGTATTTTCATGTGTATTTATATATTATTACTTAACATGTATATTATATTGTGTGTAATTATGTGTATGTATGTATTTTATTATTTTATACATAGGTATATTAAATTGTAGTATGTTTATTTATGCATACAAAGTCATATGTAATCTATATAAGTACCTATATTTAACATTATGTGTATTCTATAATAATGAGATGTTACTTTAAGGAAGATTTTTGTTTTTATTTTGTTTTTTTTTTATTGTTTGTTATTCTTTTGTTAATGCACCTACCATGCATTATCTCTGCACCACCCTATGGTCGACTGGAAGAGAATGCCCATGGAATTAAGTCCTCCTGTGTACAACTTTTGTTTTGTGCATAAGGTATAAATAAATAAATAAAATAAGACATGACCTAAAGGTCTCAGTTACCAGGTCATAAAATCCCTTTAAAAAATCTACTGGCCAGACATCGAAAAGACTTGCATTATATTCAAAAACCTTAAATACAAATATATTTTTAAATCGTCTGGACAGCACGGGGCGAGGCTGGCACGCACGTCACCTGGAGGGGAGGGGGGTTGGGAGGGGGAAAGGTTCAACTAACAAATAATGACTCTATGAAAAATAATACATTTTATTTTATCGATAACAATATTTACAAGTCACACTGTCCACCCTGTAGAAGACGCAGCGTGATGTTAATACTTGTCTCCGCGGGGGCTGGCGGGCGGCCGGTCCGAGAGTAAGTGTTGTGTCCGCGACTTATTGCATGTAAATAATGATTTGACTGACTTTGATGTCTTTTAAAGATCAATAATTCGCAGTTAAATACGCAATTTGGAAAATATATTTTTATATAGCCGGGCCGCAGACAGTAGGGTGTCCACACTGGCGCCATCTCTGGGACAGACGAGCTCATTACTAACAGGCGGTCTGTCTGTTTGTTGACGTTTGAAATGACATCAGCCACAGCTATAGGGTAAAGATGAGGCGTATTTGAGTCGTCTATTATCAAAGGTGGCAATCTGTACATTTGGACAAAAATTTTTTATTGATATGTCAGTACAGATTTATTTGAATATAATCGTCTCCTTCAAAGAATACGGTTCAAAACGTGCATTAAATAAAGGTTAATAGTTAACCTGTTATTTATCTAAGATGTCGTTCCGAAGAGTTTTGTGACTGCCAATATAATACAAAGTCAATAATTCGTTTTTCTGATTTACCAATCATTGTCCAAAAGTCAGATTGCCGCCTTTGATAATAGTCGACTCATTTACGCTACCAGGTTTGCTCAAAAACACCTGAACACTCACATGAAAATACTTCATAGGAAAATGATTCATATCTGATTGGGAATAAAAAACACAATCTGATTTGTATATTTATACGATTTTTCTCCTTATGCATCATGGAATACGGGTTGAATTCCTATGTATTTACAAATTTGAACACCGCGGCGTCTCAAGCAATACGTATGCTTTCAAGTATTTTCAAAACCTGGTTTTTGACCCGGGTATTTGTCCGCACTCGTACCTAAAAGCCCTGGTATTCAATTTGGCAAGTATGTCTCATTGCTACTATAAGATCATTTTTATAAAATGATTTCTTTAAGTGCTCTATTTGTAAAATGAGTTTGTTCAGGATCTGGACAGCACGCGGCTCCGCCCCCGCGCTCCGGTCCTGCCCGGATTGTCTCGAGGCTCTAACACATTCGACATTCCCACATCGACAACAGCGCTTCTCGCTGGTGCGGAACGGGACGCTTGGAGCCGGCCGCCTTTTCTCACCACAACTTCTTAATCGTTAATTTACAATAATTAATATTAATACAAAATTATATTTATTTATATAGGTAGTTAATGTGATGTTTCTCCGTGCGATGATAAGCCGCTTCCAACGCAGACCAATGATGGGAGGGTCCCAATGCAGGAATATTTACTGAAAGCATAAAATGATATTACACAATTAAAAGGGTTTTTTTTCCTACCTAAGCTAGAGAGATTGAAAACTTCCACACATAGATAATATGTGATTAAATAAACATTTGATTGGAAATAAAATTTAATGAATTAAAATAGAAATAGAACGTGGCTCTCAAAGTTTTTTGTCATTTTATTGTTCAATTATTTTACTTAAACAAATTAATAATAGCGGGATGGGTGTGTATTTATGATTTCAATGTTAAAGCCAAATACTACAATTAAGAGTGTTTTTAAACATTAGGCTTTTTTTTTTCCTAATTAACCTGATGGTCTAGAGATCATATCAGCGTCAATAAATTTTAAATTCACAACACACTTTTTTTAATATAGTTTATTTACATTTAACTACAGTATGTGTAGATAACTTTTTGCCATATGATCCCATTGCTATAGAAATGTTGGGGCTTCTGACAGTCCTCTCGTGACGTACCTGCGGCTGGTAGAGGCCGGGCTCGAGGCGGCGCACACGCACGCGCTGCCGGTAGTGGTACTCCTTGAGGTAGCGGCGGAGGCGGCTCGGCAGGGGCAGCAGCTCCACGCCGTCGTAGGTGGTGTGCGAGACGAGCACGGCGCGCGCCAGCTGCTGGAGCGGGAAGGGCGCGGCGCGGGGCAGCGGCGTGGTGAGCATGGGCTCGAAGAACATGACGCAGGCGGGGTCCTTGTAGTGCTCGATGAGTCCGGTGACGGTGCGCGCCGCGAACACGGCCGGGTCGTGCGAGTCGAAGCTGAACCGGTGCCGGTAGTGCTCGATGCGCGCGTGCAGCGAGCGCCCGTACTTGCGGAACGACACCGAGAACAGGTGCTCCTCCTGCGCCGAGTCGCGCAGCAGGAACGTGCCTGCGAGCCACAACACACTCACTGCCTTGGTGCCATACGTACTGGAGCAATGCGCCACCCACCTTGAGACAAGAGTTCTAAGGTCTCAAGTACAGTTGCTTTACTATATTACTGCTTCACGGCAGAAATAGACATAATGGTGGTGGTATCTAGCCATGCAGACCCACGAGAAGTCCTAGCACCAGTAAAACTCACCATACCCACATTAAGCCATTTTATTATGTCTTTATTGCCACAGAAAGTAAAGGACATCAACAATGCAAAGACCACAGCAAGCCGTTGCCTACTGTATCAGTCAAGGGCGGATCCAGCTTTGGTGTCAGGAGGGGGTCACATAGTCATGGTCAAGTCAAGAACTTATAATTTAATTTTGATAACAATAGATACAAGTAAAAAGTAGGTATTTTATTATAAGCACAATAAAGGTATAAAGAAATTTAAATTTTTTAACTTAGTACTATGTTATGATATTTTGAACTTTAGTCGTTCCGATTCCGATTGAGGTTAGGATTCAATTTGAGGTTAGGCCTAGCTAGACGTTACGTAGTCGACAAGCGCGCGCGAGTGTGGCGCGGTAAAATTCAAATTTTCGATGCGTTCGTTCCCAAACATTTGCCATCATACAAAGTTATTATATTAAATTAAATTAATTAAGGAGCAATATAAGGAACAATAATATACCTAGGCTTGCCATAAATACTGAGACAAATGAAAAAAAAATTCTATTGCAAATAACATTTATTACTTTTACAGTGTGTTAGTTTAATACATAAATATAAAACAATTTAAAGTATAAAAAGCTAATTCGAAGTGGTCTCCATTGGCTGCAATACATTCCTTTAAACGTTAAGGCCAGTTATCAATAGAAACACGCACTCTTTCCATGGGAAAATTTTTCACTGCTAATCGTGCGGATTGTTTTAGGGACTCCAAATTATCATGGCGTTTAGAGCAAGCCGTACTCTCTAAAACTGACCATAAATCATAATCCAGCGGATTAAGATCGGGACTAGACGACGGTCAGTCTTCAGCTCTGATGAAGTCCGAAACATTCGTTTCCAACCAACACTGCGTAGACCGAGCTTTATGACCTGGCGCCGAGTCTTGCTGGAAGGACCATTCTTGATTATTGAACATGGTGTTGTTAAGGGGCTTCACCACCTTCTCAAGAATGGTATCTTGATACACTTGTGCCAATGTTTTGATACCTTTTTCACAAAAGTATGGCTCAGTCACTCCTTCATAGCTAATACCCCACCAAACCATCACTGGAGTCGGATAGTGCCTACGTTGCACTCTGTCGACTAATTGGGTAGCTTCCTTAGAGCTTTGAGCATTGTAAAAATTTTCTCATCCGTAAACAAAATTTTTCTATGACCTCCCTTTGCGTACCGCTTCAGTAGTTGTTTCGATTTTACCACTCTATTCTCTTTTAAATTATCAGTTGAGAAATGACCAGTACGTCTCTTATAGGCTGCAAGTCCTAAGTCATCTTTTAATATACGCGACATGGTTCTAGGTGCTATCTTCATCTCCCGAGATAAAATCTTTTGCTTTCGGACAGGATTTATTCGAATTCTTTCCCTTACTGCTTTGACCACATTTTTCGTACGAACACTACGTGGACGGCCAGATCTTTTTCTGTCACAAACAGAGGTCTAATTGCACCTATTAATAGCCCGATACACAAACATTTTACTAATACCAAGCGTATGGAGAGTTTTAAAAATTGCATTTGGCTCCATACCTACTTTGCGTAATGCAATCACAGCGATTCGGTTTTCTTTATCACCCTGCTCCATTTTAATATCGCAAAATATTGTACAATGTATTGGCGCCAAAATGAGAAAACTCAATGAGCAATCATATAAAAATGACAGATTCCAAATTCAATGGTATAACAAATGTATTTTGTTTATTTTTAATTGTAACAGTATTTATGGCCAGTCTAAATATTGTGTCCTTACATCATTATGTTCAATATGTGGTCCATCTAGGTCCTGGAACCAGCTCAGGGGGGGGGTCATGACCCCCATGACCCCCCCCCCCCGGATCCGCCCTTGGTATCAGTAGCAAACTTACACTTCACACTACTCAAAGTTGAAGTTCATTGACCCCGTGTTCATTGACCCCTAAATTTCAGTTTGACATATCACGGAGACCACAAAATCTTAAAATAATACTTAGATTTTCAAACGTATATAGTTTTCTGGTCAGGTTAAAGTTACATTAATATTATGTATCCCAAAATACAGGGTGCGATATTCGTGGGTCAATTTGCTTATATTATTTATACATCAAATATGTCTAATATGGTTTATAGGCACAACACCTTCGTTCCTTGAACGAAGGTCAATGTTAAACTCAAAAATCTTAAAAATGGTACTTAGCCCCTTCATCCACTGAGGTCTTCAATTCTGTCATATCGAATCATCACCACCTCTCGTCTCAAAATATAGTGATAGCTGACCATGTCTACGAACATGCTTTTTTTTATTGCTTAGATGGGTGGACGAGCTCACAGCCCACCTGATGTTAAGTGGTCACTGGGGCCCATAGACATCTTCAAGATAAATCGGCCACCCACCTTGAGACATAGTTTTAAGGTCTCAGTATAGTTACAACGGCTGCGCCGCCCTTCTAACCGAAACGCATTGCTGCTTCACGGCAGAAATAGGCAGGGTGGTGGTACCTACCCGTGCGGACTCATAAGAGGTCCTACTACCAGTAAATGCCCTTATATCTCTTACCCTCTGGCTTATTCTCTAACAATCTCTCGGCCTCGTATCGGTCCATCTTGCCCCAGTAGTACGAGCAGGCCGTTATCTCCTGGAGGTCAGGCACCAGGCAATGGATGTAGTCCACCTGGATCAGAATACAGCAGTTGAGTCACTCCGTCTTAATTAAGACAGTTTCTATAGACCGAGCCATTTGGAACAGCGTTACCTGAGTGTGTACTTTAGTAGGCGGGGGCTGCGGCTGCTGCAAGGGCGGAGCCCTAAGCAATAGCGCTCTTAGTTCACTACCGCATACAACCTGGCAAAAATATACACGACAACTTTGAATAGGTTTACATAGCAATTCTTGTATATAAATATATATATAATATGAATCTCAGAAACGGCTCCAACGATTTTCATAAAATTTAGTATACAGAGGATTACGGAGGCGATAAATCGATCTAGCTACGATTTATTTTCAGAAAATGTCGTTTTATTCGTGTTTTCTTCAATAATAAACTTTATCGATAATTTTGATTTTTTCTTTAAATAACCAGTTCATATATTTTTATTATTCTGTCGGTAAGATCGAATAATATTTTTCATATTTAATCATTTTATCAATATATAATTCGTATTTAAACATAGTTTCTAAAAAACACAAACTATAAAAAAAAACAAAGGGAAGCTCGGTCATTATCTAGTATATTATTATGCTTAAATAAAACTCCACAAATGTCAGCTGCACAAAACTCGAGGTCAACAACCTCACTTTGGCAGGGGTCGTTGACCTCACCATGCATCTAATGATTCTTAATCCGATCCCAATAGTATGCAGACTGTCTGATAACATATTAACATACATTCCTTGAATCATTGCCAGTACGACTGGTGTGTGCTCTCAGCACTCACAATCGCCGGTATGACTCGTAGAGCCCTCAACACTCAATATATATAATAATTTACCTGGAAGTGTGGATGTAGTCGTATTGCGCTTTCGTTTGTTTGTGTTGTTTCATTCCTCCTCCCTTCCAATGCTGGGCTTCCTTCCGTGTCCGGCCTGAAAACAATGTCACTCCATTAGAACAGGATAAGCAAAAAACATATAACGGACCGGACTAGATTTTTTACAGGTGGTAGGACCTCTGGTGACCACGCGGGTAGGTACCACCACCTCGCCTGTTTCTGCCGTGAAGCAGTAATGCATTTCGGTTTGAAGGATGAGGCAGCCGTTGTAACTATACTGAGACCTTAGAACCTATGTCAAGGTGGGTGGCGCATTTACATGGGCTTCAAACTGTGTAACAATCTACTTCACGGAAGCAATAATCAGGTCGATGGAAACTGTGCATCTTTTATACGGTTTACATCGCTGGCTCAAGATAGCTCATGATTCAAACATATACCGAGTTATTTTGAAATAATTTCAATATTGAAGTCATGCCGAGGCAATGGTAGCTCCATGGTTTACGTACGTCCTGGGCGCCACGGAGAGCACGTAGAGTTCAGCCGTCGCGTCTCCGTCCCGCGCCGCGTCGCTCTCTGTAAAGCACATACAAGTGATTTTTTTTAAGGGATTTTATGACCTGGTAACTAAGATCTTTAAGTCATGTCATTTTTATAAAAATGATAATATGGAGTGAAATGAAATGAAGATGATTAATTTGAGACGTTAATCAACTGGGATGAAATTAAATAAAATGAGATTAGGTATGGGATGAATGTAATCTCAGTAAAATGGTGGTCATTTACTGAGATTTTTTCAGTGGATTTTGGAGGATCCCGAGAAGTTATATCCAGCGGCTTTGTTTTATTTTCCCACATTTGTGCACTTTCACAGATATTAAACAATTAATAAACCACCGTTATTACACATTTAAACCTGAAGAAACACGACATAAAACAAATCTCACAACTTCACTCCTCGCATTCCCATCAAAAAGTCGCACACAAGTGAGTTCCACGCGCTTATCACGAGACACCTAATACGGACAATGTCCAATATGGTCATAGCAAGCTATGTCAGTCCTCATATCCTTCAAAGAAGCTTGTATAGTTCTATGTAAGCACATAGCTAAGTTCAGATATGGATTACACATTGGAGATTTCACTACAAAGCAAATTAATCTAAGACCTTAGGTTTTTAAATCTTGACTCGGGTGGAACCGGAATCATAAAAATAACAAATAAAAGGTGCTCTGCCCATATTGTGGTCTGTGGGCTAGTCATCAGATCAATAGTGACAGTAAAAACAATTGTCATCTTGCGTATCTGATGTGTTGTCTGATTTAAAATAACCAACACATAATGGTTGATTTGTTTACTGTAAAAAAAACTCACCAGTGTTAATGACTATGGCATCTAATTCCCTTCTGAGATCTCTTGCTCCTAACGTCAGAACTGCTGCCAATCTGTATAATAAATTGTATTTAATCATAATTTTTGTCACACTTAGAAAAATGAAATGATTAGTCTTAATTGAGGTAGCATTTACTTTATAATTTCGATGGGTACCGGTTAAGAGTTAACACTAGTGGGCCATGAGAAACCCAGCCGATCAATGGAATATTTAACAAAAAAGGCAATTTATTGTATTAAATAATTAAAAAACGGTTTGTTTATTTTATATGGATATTTTAAAATCGAAATGCTATTCGAGAGAACACTTTTATTTTTATTTTTTTTATTGTTTAGATGGGTGGACGAGCTCACAGCCCACCTGGTTTCAAGTGGTTACTGGAGCCCATAGACATCTACAACGTAAAAATCGCCACCGACCTCGAGATATGAGTTCTAAGGTCTCGGTATAGTTACAACGGCTGGGACCCTTCAAACTGAAACGCATTACTGCTTTATGGCAGAAATAGGCGGGGTGGTGGCACCTACCCGTGCGGACTCACAAGAGGTCCTGCCACCAATAAAAATAATGTACTGTGCATCTTTTCAATTAAGAGTGTCTCTTTATTACAGGTGTATCGACTTATAGGTCCTGATGATCCACGACCTAGGCCAGCCATTGTTTGTAGTAATGATTGTATAACAGAACTATTTTGATTGTGGTGAAGAAAATAAAACATTAACATATCGGTGAGTACTGACCTGTCATCACCGACCCTTCTGTAGGCAGTGCAGACGCAGGCAGGTCGTCGCCATCTTTTCCTTCTGCAAGCGCACTCCCTTGCACTCCACCTGGAAGCAATATAGTATACAAGGTGAACCACTGGCGAACAAAATTTTTTTTTTAATGAACTTTGTGAATAGCTCATAGTCGACCTAGTGCTTAGTGAATACCGGACCCCATAGATCAGGGCCCTTAAACTGCAATACTTTTAAGACAAATATTGTTTGTATGGGAAACTAGCGACATCTTGTAGCGGATGCCCTTAAACTTACATGTTGTTAAAGTTAAAGCATTTAATTATTGCATAACTAAACACAGAAAAAAAAATCATACAAAGCTTTATTTGTTATAGACAAATTGATAAAATTTTATCAATTTATGGCTTCTGAAAATTTACAAAATCCTTTATTAAAAATAAAATATAGGATAGGTAATATGTTACTGCCATCTACAGGAGCAATGAGAAGCTAATCGAAGCGAAGACATCTAGTGGCCAACGCCCGTAAACATTATTGTTGAGTGCTTGAGTTGCTTATCTATAACTAATTTATGTGTATTATCTATGTCACAGATATTACAAAGCCAATGCTCACACAGTTATAGTGTATAAGCTATCCAATCCTTCAAACTGGAATAGCTATTTGCTTAGTAGCAGATAGGCATTACGGTACGTACAGATGCTGACAATAAATTGAAATTGCCATTACAACATATATATTTTGCTGACCCTACCTAATTAATCACTTTGTGAAAAAATCACCTGTCTGTTACAGCGCTCACATATCTCTGGACACTGGAGGGTGATTCAGCATAGCGTCTTCGTTCCCAGGCTCCACAACCACAGGTGCATTCTCCACCTGAAATAAGTCATTAAAACATTAGGCATTTTATTCTTGTTTATTGTTATAACAAAATACAGACCTGTATTCAATAGTAGCAAATCAAAATTGCTAATCTGTACTATTGTGAACAAGTTAAAAGTTCTATTACTAACGTTATGTATTTATAATAAATTTTTTTATAAATACGACACTCGGTTAATGTTTTATTTGACCTTAGACACAATTACTACGGTCATATTTGGAAACTTTTTTTTTATGTTTATTAACCATTAAAGTGATGTAAAAACTAAAATTCTGCTAACAAAGGAATTAAGAAACATTTACACAGCTACACACTTGTAGACAATATTGAGTCTCACACAAGCTTCAGTTTCTTGAACACTTTTTTTTTTGCCTTTATAGGCAGACGACCATACAGCCCACCTGATGATAAGTAGATATCGTTGCTCATGGACATTAGCAATGCCAGGGGCACAGCCAAGTCGCTGCCTACCATTAAGCACTCTCCTAATAACTAGACAGTTAGTACTAACTAATAGTACTAACTGAATACAAGAACACTAATTTCTAGACATTAACTCTACTTACTTTTCCTGGAAGTCTGCTGTCCCATGTTCCTCAGATTTTCTATCTTTCGTACACTGATAGGTTCAACCAGCGAACTACCATCTGAAAGAAAAAAACATGTCGTTAATTTTCAACTAAAAAGAAATTTCAGAACTTTGTGCATTGCTTGTTATATTTGATTTGATTTATACGTGTTTTAATGAGATTTCTTGGTTACCTATATTTAAATTACATGAAAAGACCAAAGATGACAGCTGAGACACCTAGCATCTTAAAAATGAGTGATACTCCGGGGCTCAAACCCTGTAGGCAATGTTGACAAGCTCAACAAAAGCAATCCACCCAATATCACCTTTTACCGAGGCCCTTGAAAATTACAGCGCTAATGCCACAACCATGAAATAATAATAAACTCTCCATATTATTCAACAGCTGTCCCGCCTTCAAACTTGAACCTGTGATAGCAGCAGACACCGAGGCCACCTATCGACGAGACACACTAATTGATTCAAAGTTTAGCACCTACACCAGCCGTGTTACATAACAAATATTCTTGGCTTAATAATGCTGTTTAAATTCACGACCTCGTCTTTTGTGATAAACAATGTTAAGTTCGGAGACATTAACAACTCTGTATTATGATGTTATCTTAAATTTTAGGCAAAGAATAATTGTGCGAATAAATAGCGCGCTATTTTGGCACAACGAAAACGAAAACTCTTTGTTAATTTGTATGTGGGTTTCTAATGTGGATATCCTCAAAAAGTCCCACAAACTTTGGTGAAAACTTATTTATAGGAAGAATATGGTTTCTAATGTGGATATCCTCAAAAAGTCCCACAAACTTTGGTGAAAACTTATTTATAGGAAGAATATGGTTTCTAATGTGGATATCCTCAAAAAGTCCCACAAACTTTGGTGAAAACTTATTTATAGGAAGAATATAGTTTCTAATGTGGATATCCTCAAAAAGTCCCACAAACTTTGGTGAAAACTTATTTATAGGAAGAATATGGTTTCTAATGTGGATATCCTCAAAAAGTCCCACAAACTTTGGTGAAAACTTATTTATAGGAAGAATATGGTTTCTAATGTGGATATCCTCAAAAAGTCCCACAAACTTTGGTGAAAACTTATTTATAGGAAGAATATAGTTTCTAATGTGGATATCCTCAAAAAGTCCCACAAACTTTGGTGAAAACTTATTTATAGGAAGAATATGGTTTCTAATGTGGATATCCTCAAAAAGTCCCACAAACTTTGGTGAAAACTTATTTATAGGAAGAATATATACACTGTACATACAATTATCAGTACTAATGTAGTTAAAAAAAACGAATACATAAAATTCAACAGCATGTTCCACAAATGACAGCCACAAAATGATATAGTATCGTCACAAGCCCACAGACTCCCAGTACTGGACATGAACCCCCCAAAGTATTTAGAAGTTTTCATGGCCTAAACGATAAGATGTCCGGTGCGTCGTATCTAGCAATGCAACGGTGTTCGAATCCCTCCGCAGGTACCAATTTTTCTAATGAAAATACGTACTTAACAAAAGGTCCCGATTGACTTCCACGGTGTAGGAATAACATTGTGTAATAAAAATTAAACCCGCAAAATTATAATTTGCGTAATTACTGGTGGTAGGACCACTTTTGCGTTCGCACGGGTAGGTACCACCACCCCAACTATTTCTAACGTGAAGCACTAATGCGTTTGAAGGGTGGGGTAGCCGTTGTAACTATACTGAGACCTTAGAAGTTATTTCTCAAGGTGGGTGACGCATTTACGTTGTAATTATCTATGGGCTCCGGTAACCACTTAACACCAGGTGGGTCATGAGCTTGTTTACTAACCTAAAGGAATAAAAATATATATTGGAAATGGTTCTACATGACCACATGTTGCAGGCTTGTTGATCATCCATCATTAGATTGGTGGCGTGTGCGCCTAGACCCATACATAGATGGAAGTACTAATGTAAAATAGTAGTCAGAGAATCCTGACTATAATGTCATATTATATGACTGTTAGGTGAAGATTGCTCATTAGGACCAGTTCAGAAAGGTGACGGTTCTTGGCACGTCTGTAAAGACAAGGATGTGCAGAGGCTTTTTTATGAGTCAAATATTTTGGGGGAGGAGAAGGTGCGGAGGCTCTGATGGCTCGGGCACGTAGTGCGTATGGAGAAGGATCGGACTGTGAAACAGTTGTACCCGGGTGTACCGGAAAAACGCCGTCCTGTAGAGAGGCCAAAGTATCACTATTCTTACACTGCGGAAGGAAATTTACGTGAGCTCAAGTGTCAAACTGGCAAGGAGTTGTGCATCGCCGGGATGAATGGCGACGTTTATTGTCGGAGGCCAAGACCCACTTTGGGGTAATAGGGCCAGCGCAGTAGTAGTATTTATTAAAAAATTGTTAGCAGACCTGCTTATAATTTTAAACCCTACCATAAACCTACCTACCAATTTCTTTAACTCATATTTGAAATAGCACACCATATGATGAATAGTTTTAACACTACATGTTATTCGTACAACACTATTTCGGGTCACCTTTAGTTCGTTTTAGCATAGGCATGTAAAATGTATCACAAAATGTTTATCATATTATGTTGAATATATTGATGTAAATTTCCACTTCGACAAAGCGGCACGACATGAGAAACCTCTCATCGTGGCCGCCGGTAACTACATTACCGATCCTCCGGACAGAATGGAAAGCAGTCGACGTCGCCCCAAACACGTCATTTCGGATCCTCCCGATCCACTAACGGTGCTTTTAGGTACCTCAAGCACCTGTCGTCGTTCTCGTCGAACCCGTCGCTTGCGACGAAGGGCTCGACGTGTAAATTAACCCTCAGACAGAGCCCACTGAGTTTCTCACTAGATCTTCTCAGTGGGTCGCGTTTCCGATCGGGTGGTAGATTCTGCGAAGCACGGCTCTTGCTAGGGTTCGTGTTAACAACGTCGTCAAGTTTGAGCCCCGTGAGCTCACCTACTAGTTATGGTTACGCTGATATAGCCTCTCAAGGCTCTCAGCTTAGGTAGGAAAAAATCTTAAATAGAAGGATGTAAAGGACAATGCACATTTTCTATGGGCGTTTGGGCCCCAAAAAAAAGTTGTCCTGTCATGATGGTTTTAACTTAATTTGATAGACAAAGAAATATCGTTTCATATTCAGAAAACGATTTTTATATTCTCACCCATGTTTAAGAGAAATCTGTTTTTTTCTGCAGCTAAAATTAAGTTGTTAATTGTTTTCTTCGAAATCAATAATCACTCCCATAATTATTTACAGTATTAAATAAGTTAATTGTGGTAAATGTTGCTAGAAATAAGCCCTTACGTACATTTTATTATTATTATATCCTCATAATAATAATAAAATGAAATGAAAATCCGGAAGCCGGCAACAATATTGTTGTTGTTGTTTTTAAATTCACCAATAAGCAGGCAAAGAGCGTAGCCTATACAGTCTGTCGAAGTTATATATTTTTTATGTCAATAAAAAGCCGGTGTATCTCTTTTTATTGCTTTTTGGGAGTTTTGATGTCAACTCAACGAATACCACATTGACTGAGCATGAGTTTACGCAGAACTTTTATACACAATATTACAAATACAAATAATACAAATTACACAATAAACTATTAAAAAAACATTAAAATAAAAATTCAAGTGACGCTTCACTCGGGTTGCTGCCAAAACTCTCTGATCATATATAATAAGAATAGAGTAGTGGTAGGCCATTGATATTTTTACTAATGGAATCATTAATATCTAAAAATGTTAAATAATTCATGGTTTTAAGTAATNCACAATATTACAAATACAAATAATACAAATTACACAATAAACTATTAAAAAAACATTAAAATAAAAATTCAAGTGACGCTTCACTCGGGTTGCTGCCAAAACTCTCTGATCATATATAATAAGAATAGAGTAGTGGTAGGCCATTGATATTTTTACTAATGGAATCATTAATATCTAAAAATGTTAAATAATTCATGGTTTTAAGTAATTATTATTATTACAATATATAAATATTGAATTGAACAAAAATAAACTAAGAAGCCTGTGAATTATAAGCATTAGCTATTTTTTTTTATTTGTTGTTCAAGTCACAAACAACTCTTTCGTTTGACAGCATATAGGTTTGCTATAAGGCTGTATGGGCTAAGCCCTTTGCCTATTGGCGAATTTAAAAACTATGGCATGGATAGTTTTGGGATGTTATCAAATAAGTAATTTATTTTTTTGGAAAACAATGCCAGGTTGAAAGAAATGTTGATACATAAACTAAACAACGTGAAAAAATAAGGGTTAGTTTTTCAAGTACAAATAGTTTTGACATAAAGTTGGCCCACTTTTGGGCATTGTCCTTTCAATGATTTAGACAAAGTATATGAAGCACAATATATCCATTGTACTGTAATTTAAAAGCTAACAAATATAAGGTTATGGGTTAGTAGTGGTATTCATGTTGTACCTAGTGTGTACAAGAACAGCATGATATTTGCCAATTTGCCCACATAACTGTATTTATCAAAATTAAATGTCTAGAAGCCAGCTTTAACATGTCCTCCTGTGCATTAACTGAATTGTTAAACTTGTTAAAATTGCTAAGTCAACTCATCTGCCGCTATCACAATTAATTAAGGCTACATTTTAATTGGGAATGAACGAAATGATTCATCATTTCAGTGAAATGTTAATTGGCAATAATTAAGGCAAACAATAAAGGACACAATCATATTAGACGGATGTGTGTGCAGAGAGAGACGATTCCAATATCAGCAGATCCAACTTGAACTTATAGAGAAATGTAATTTATAAAGATGAGAAATATATTCGGTTCATGTTATTATCTATAATACCTTATGCAAATCGTAAGCTTCTCTAAGCCATAACTTGCCTTTTTTATGGCCTTAATGCTTGACCAAAGGCTGGTGTCGAGTGGTTATGAGAGCCACTAAATATGACAACACTGAGGGCACTTTGGATCCTGAGATGTGAAATTGAAGCCTAAATTGTATTGTGTAACAGCAGTCCCACCCTTCAAACTGGAAAACATGGTTACTTCACAGGAGAAATAGGCCAGATGATGGTATAATGTGGCAGTTAACGTTTAACAGCAAAACAACATTGCAAATATACCTGTACATATGAGTCGACTATTATCAAAGGCGGCAATCTGACTTTTGGACAATGATTGGTAAATCAGAAAAACGAATTATTGACTTTGTATTCCATTGGCAGTCACAAAACTCTACGGAACGACATCTTAGATAAATAACAGGTTAACTATTAACCTTTATTTAATGCAGGTTTTGAACCGTATTCTTTGAAGGAGACGATTATATTCAAATAAATCTGTATTGACATATCAATAAAAAATTTTTGTCCAAATGTACAGATTGCCACCTTTGATAATAGACGACTCATATATGAAATTAAAGCATCACATTCGAGCAATGTGTTCTTCCGTGATGGTATATAGGACAGAGCCATGGAACAAGCTATGTTAGGCATTTCTCTACTGGGTGGGGTCTGCAACACTGGAGTCTGCAGAAGAACTGGTTTGATTGACATAGACAGTGATGTCACAAAGAAAGTGGAAATGGGCTGGCCACATATGCCATGACACAGACAATTGGTGGGGCACAAAAGTACCAGAGTGGAAACAACTTGCATGGGCCGACAATCAATGAGGTGGACCAACATTCTGGTCAAAATAGTTGGTAGGGACTGGATGTGAAAGGCAAGAGACTGAAAATAATGGAATGCATATGAAGAGAACTACACCTTGGGTATAGGGTATAAGTAGCGTGACCAGAGGTCCCGTTTTGAACAGGACTGTCCCTTTTTATAATTACGAGTCCCGGTGTCCCCGAAATGAGCTCTGGAACGCAAAATTGGCTTGAATAAAAAACCAGCTATGTCTTTAAACAAAGGGATATTGATGGATGTGTCTTTAACAGAACTTTCAGGATTAACTGTAACTGTTAGCGTCTAATATTGTTCAATTGTCTAATATTGCTTGCTAATAAAACGCAAATATTTAGGTTTTCTTCTATGTAACAAGTTTGGACAGGTTCAATAACCTATGTTGACCTCTTTTACGGGTGCTCAACAAAAACATCGCAGCAAACCCACAAAGATGATTTTGTTTGTACACGTTAGTGAAATTATCTCTAACAATGTAGAAATAAACAACAACAAGTGTAATATAGTTCCGCCATTTTGTAATTTAAATTTAGAAGTGGGTAGAAATATATAAGTATTAAAAACTCTCTCCGCTTCGAATGAGATGAAAAGTAACTTACGTCTATTCGTGAAAGGAGTTTTAAATTCGCGTATTTTCTTAATTTTTGTAGGTTTTCCTCGCGTAGAATGTTTATATACAAGAAGTTCGTATGTAAAATTAGTCACGGCACTTTAAATTTGTCGATTGTACACTTTCCTCTGTGTTATGATTTCGGGAAATATTTATTAAAGAGTAATTCAGTATCTATAAGGTGACATTCACGATTTTACTGAGAAATTTCACAATTTTCAAAAAAATAGCATGTAAATGAGGTAGATACGCAATTCCGAATGAAGTGAATGAAAAGTGTATAATCTATGTGAATGAATGAATTTAGATTCAATGAATGAATTCAATTACTTTTTAAGGGATTTTATGGCCTGGTAACTAAGACCTTTAGGTCATATCTTATTTTAATTTTAATTTTTTATGAAATAAAATGAAGGGATGAAATATAATCTCAGTAAAATGGTGGTCATTTACTGAGATTTTTTCAGTGAACTTTTTGGAGGCTCCCGAGAAGTTACATCTAGGGGCTTTATTTCACTTTTCCACATTTGTGCACTTTGTCAGATATTAAATAACTAATAAACCACCGTTATTACACATTTAAACCTGAAGAAACATTGAATAGACAAAATAAAAAAAATCGCACAACTTCACACCTCGCGTTCCCGCCAAAAATTCGTATGAACTCAAAATGAAAATACTGTATAATCTTCTTTTATTTTTTAGTACGGCAATTAGCTTTTTGCACTGCTAGTGTTAACCTCTTTCTTTATTCTTCATTATTCTTCCATCATATATTATATTTGTTTATAGATATCATATCTTAGATGATTTAAAAGCGAATTAAAGAGAACTAAAAAAAGTTGTTTTAAGTGGTATCAACTGGGGTAGATTTAATAAAATCAAAATTAAATGTTATGAAAGGAGATGAGTTGAAGTGAACTAATGTCCCAGTAAAAGTCCGGAAATGAATAAGAATTCAGTGGATTTTTTAAGCACTTAAATTCACATTAGGTTCAGAGTCCGATAAACACTACGTTTATGATTTTATTTCCGCTACCTAGATGTGTTAGTGGCCTTTTTAGTCGCCACATAGGTACTAAATTTTATTTTATTAATAAATTTAAGCCATAGCGGGCGAAAGAGGTAAAACGACTTAATTAACAGCATTTTAAAAATAAGAAGCAGCAAATTTCATATTTCTTTATTAGTAATTAATAAATCGGCGTTTACACAATCTACGAAAGTGTTGGAAGGTAATAGGAAAATCCATTTGATTTTGTTTATTATATTATTGGAACGAAGTTCCTTACGGCAGGCTTGGAGGGGATAGGGATTTTGCTGCGCGACCGAACTGAAAAAAATGTGATAGTAAAACCGTAAGAAAAAGTGCGTGGAAAAAATCCGTGGAAAAAAGTGCGTGGAATAAAACCGTTAAATGAGACGTGCGCAGGCGCGACAGTCGCATACACAAGCGAGTAGTGTATAATACCTTTTTCTTTCTCCTTATTTCTTTTCGTTCTCTAATCCCTTCTCTCTCATTTAGTAATTATTTCTATTTCTATGTAATTTTATGTTGTCAACCAAAAATAAAGAGATATATTTTGCTCTTTTAATTGATAATTTGATTTACTATTTTTTTTATTTTACGTAATTTATTATTTCCTAAAATACTGAATTTCCTAAATACTTTCCCGTACTTAAATAAAAACTAATCAGCAAAATTTAAGAGAAAAACGAAGAAAACCTACATAAAATTGAGCACCATTTCTTTTTTTGCAAATTGTGTCGATTCTACATTAGCCGAAGGAACTTCGTTCCTACCTGGTGTCCCACGACACCACATCTTTAATTTATTATTAAATATACTTGTGAATATGCTCAGCTGCAACAGGCTGGAGCCCATAATCATCACACGTGAATCTTGCCAAGTCTTTGAGACACGAGCTCGAGTCTCAATTGTATTGTCCACCGATATCCTGCTCCAAGCTGCGTTATTTTTCTTATGCTTAATGTTAATTTTATTGTTAAATTATTTGTTAATTTATTGATTGAAAATGAAAATCAGAGTCGATATACTACAACCTCTTAAGTTAATGATCGATTATTCTAATCGATTCGTGCCATCCCTACTAAGATGTTTTAATTATTCGCTCGCACTCGGCGTGTCGCCATTTTGTTGGCTTTGTTAAAATACTGAAAAAATCAGTAGAGCCCAACTATTAATTGAAATACGTGTTTTATGATTTATTAAAATGTCCAAACGTCGTATTGAAGTAATTGATCCGTTTATCAAAAAGAAAAGGTTAGTAGCACATTTTTCTTCACTCTAAAGACCCCATGCCTCGCGCTGTGAAGAACATCGCGGCTTTGTTTCAACTTTGAATGTGTAATCAAATGCGAATTTATTACATTTTACTTATACAGTTAATATTAAGAATACCCTTTAAAAGAGAAGTATGTATTTTTATTACAGAATAAAAACGATTAAAATTAAACGATGTTCTACCAGCGTAGAGTTTATTGATTTATAGTGTAAATATCTGCGTTTTATCATAAATAGCTTTAATTCAATATTCACACGTGATCGTATTTAGATTTAATAGAAACTATTAAAAATTATGTTATTTAAAATAAATAAATAAAGGCTACCTGAAATAATAATGTTATTATGCTGACATGGGCTGTTGGCATTGAAATGTTGGCTACAACAAGTGCCAGGGAAGGAAATTATATGCACAAATATATTTTTAATACAATGTATGTTTTTTAAACTTTGTGATCTGCTGTGTTTATACACGTGTAATATTAATCAACATGGAGCCCATACTGCTGGGAGGCAGATTTTAAATTTCAGCACCTAATGCTTTTAATGTTACAAGCATTCTCTAAGAAAGTATTCTCCAAAGATATTTTTGGAAATTTGGGAAGGAGGTAAAATAAGGAATGTACGGTTGTATGGAAGTCTGTCACTTTCAAAATATCAAGCACGAAATTTCATATTATTCACATACTTGTGGTTAAAAATGAGTGTGCATGTATTGATGTCTCAGAGATTGAAATTTTATATAGGAAATTATTTACTGTGAAGGCAGTAGCACCAAATGAAATTTATAGTATCACATATTAAAACAACAAACATTACTAATAATTGGTTAAATATAAATTTATGTTGACTGTGTTGTCCATCTGTGGTCATTGGTCTTATGTAAAATGTGCAGAAAATCTTAAATGACAAAGTTCTGTACAGCTTTCATTCAGAAATAGTTCAGTTTAATATTAGACAACAACTAGGAGGAATAAAACTGAGACCCCAACCTCATTTCTCAAGACAGGCTACAGTAATTGTTGAATTGTATGGGAGCTTCTATTCGGTTGATCTTATACTATTATATTGAGGGGTGAAAATCTATTTGGTTTAAGCAAATTTTTTGTGACTTTACAGGAGAGCCAATTAAAGTTTAAAATTTGGAAAAAATATAATAACCTAAAATTTCTTCAGCTATTTGAATGGAGTGAACTTAATTCAAGTTCAATTGAAAACATTGAATCGTTGATACTAATACATAAATTAAGTGTACTTTTAATTATAAAAATAAAAGTGGTGTGTTACATGAAATGTTGCTTAAACCAAATTGTCTATCGCCCCTCAATATTTTAAGCTGTGTTTCCTTCTTTAATCATTATCACATAAAACCAATCGAATTCAATCAATATTTCTTGATGTATTCCAGGGAAGAGAAGGCTGCGGCTGCTGCGAAATCTGGAATCACCGGTGAACCTTCAGAAGCAACTACCAACACGACTACCACCATGGCTACCAATACACCTGGACTAAATAAATATACTGGTACCATAGAAATAGTGATTATATATTAGTATACATTGATACCAGTTTGGCTCTGCTCTTGACATTGCTGATGTCTGTGAGTGAATGTGACTGACCGTCGAATTGGCTCAGATTGGCGTCAGATTGGCTAATAAACTATTTACTAATAATAAATAAAACTAATAAGCTATTGGAGGATAATAAACGGTCTGAGGATAATAAACAAATAATTTACTCAATAGTTAATGTGACATTCACTCTAAACTCAGATTCTCAATTTTTGAGCTTAATATGATAAAAACTCGAAATTTTCTTAGTACGATTGCTATTAGTTCTGTTGGCAGCTTACAAAATGAGTCTCAGATATGTATGTCATTGTTTTTTTGAACAGTCAATTCATATAGAAAATTTGGAAATGTCAATAAAATTCAATAGAACAATATTCTGATATGCCCCTAAATATTATTTATAAAGTTCTAGTGTTATAAGTATAAGTACAAGTTCTTATAGTATCATAGATTTAATTAATACTTTTATGATTTAATTTCGCTTTTTTTTATTGTCATTCTATTACTTCTGACATTTCAAATGCATCACAATTTTGTGGTCACAAATGACTACCAGTCTGACTAAAAATGCTGAATGAAATAAAACATAAAATTAGTTTTAATTAAGTTTCAATATTTTAGAGGAGGAAAATAAGTAAAATTAATTGTCCACAGGTCTTCCGCATTCACAACGTTACCATGAGCTATTACGAAAACGTTTAGGACTCCCAGTCTGGGAATACAAAAATGATTTCATGAGATTACTCAACACTCACCAATGTATAGTGCTCGTAGGAGAAACAGGCTCAGGGAAGACTACCCAGATCCCCCAGTGGTCTGTAGAGTTTGCTGCAGTAAGTGGCCTAGGCAAGGCTAAAGGAGTGGCCTGTACTCAACCAAGACGAGTCGCTGCTATGTCTGTTGCTCAGAGGGTAGCCGAAGAAATGGATGTGGCTTTGGGTCAGGAAGTTGGTTACAGCATTCGGTTTGAAGACTGTTCAGGGCCACAAACACTTCTAAAATACATGACAGACGGTATGTTGCTAAGAGAGGCTATGTCTGACCCAATGCTAGAACAATATAGAGTTATACTCCTCGATGAAGCCCACGAAAGGACACTTGCAACAGATATCCTGATGGGTGTTCTCAAAGAAGTCATAAAACAGAGGTCCGATTTGAAACTTGTTATTATGTCAGCCACGTTAGATGCTGGAAAGTTCCAGCATTATTTTGACAATGCTCCATTAATGAACATTCCTGGTCGGACTCATCCGGTAGAAATATTTTACACTCCACAACCTGAACGAGATTACCTAGAAGCTGCGATAAGGACTGTAATACAAATCCATATGTGTGAAGAGATCTCTGGTGATATACTACTATTTTTAACTGGACAAGAGGAGATTGAGGATGCTTGTAAGAGAATTAAAAGAGAAATAGACAATCTGGGAACTGATGCAGGAGAGCTAAAGTGCATACCGCTATATTCAACATTGCCGCCAAATTTACAGCAACGGATCTTTGAGCCGGCACCTCCAAATCGACCAAACGGAGCCATCGGCAGGAAGGTGGTAGTGTCCACAAACATCGCTGAAACATCTCTGACTATTGATGGTGTTGTTTTTGTCATTGACCCAGGTTTTGCGAAACAAAAAGTTTATAATCCCCGTATAAGGGTGGAGTCGTTATTGGTTTCTCCGATAAGTAAAGCATCAGCCCAACAGAGAGCGGGGAGGGCCGGCAGAACTAGACCGGGGAAGTGCTTCCGGTTATATACCGAGAAAGCATACAAGGATGAAATGCAGGACAATACTTATCCTGAGATTTTGAGGTAATTTTTATAACGGTTTGTATGTGACTACCGTTTCGAATGTAGTGAGTAAATACTGTATTTATTTCTATACTAACAGTTGTAATGTTCAATTATTATTCTAATATAATACCAAGATAAGCTCTGTTTGTCTATATTTTATAGCTTTTCATGTGTATCATTATTTCTGTCTGATTGGGTGTGGTCACTGTCAATTGCTGAGAATCATCACTTTATATTACTGTCAATTGTGTATAAAAAACTTACTGGATGTTTAGTAGTCCAAATAAAAATGTATGTGCTATAAAATCATTAATTGTGACGAATATTGGATATTTATTCCAAAATAGGTTTATGTCATAGTAACAACAAAGTTAGACAGGCCAATAGGCTATATATAGTTTCTAGAATATATTTTCATACAAGTCAGTGTAGTAGACAGAGCACGACAATGTTTCTCTACTCTAATATAATTTTGAATGGGTTACGATTCGCGGTATAAGAACCAGATGAATGTACCTACAAAAAAAAAAAACTTTTTTTTCATGAAACCGTTCAAAATTAAGTATTTTATGAATTGCCAAAACCACGTAACAGTATAGTTGATATTTAACATATTCCAAAACAACTAAAAAGCCTAAGAATCACTTTCAATGGAACCAGAAAAATGTATGGAATTTGGTATGAAACGAGAAAAATTGAGAATTTTTTCCTGACTTTATCTGACTCTTACACAGCGAATTACACTAACATAGTTCTAGAAGCTAACACCCTAAATACTAAATATCTCAGCTATTGAATGGGTGAAGTCTAAGAGTACTGTTACTGTCATGTCAATATGCTAAAATCACACCCCCTTTAAGTTTGTCCTGTTCGGGTAATGAAGTGAGTTGTAATCTAATAATACGACTGCGTTGCCCGTTCCAGATCAAACTTAGGATCTGTAGTTTTGCAGTTGAAGAAGTTGGGCATCGATGACCTGGTGCATTTCGATTTCATGGATCCACCGGCTCCGGAGACACTCATGCGGGCGCTCGAGCTGCTCAACTATCTGGCTGCGCTGGGTGAGCTTGTGCTGTATATTATTTTTGAAATTACTTTAGAAGCGTTCATGGATTATTGTAACTAGAGTTGCCACGAATAGTGATTTGGCCGAATACAGAATATTCGGCAACGCTGTCGGCCGAAGCGCCGAATATTCGGCACAAAGTACATGCTAGTTAGTCGAGCGCGTAAAGAATAATATGACCGGTCGGGACCTGTCTCCATCGTGCGCGGGCGGTGTCCGGCCATTAGACTGTTTCAGTTGCGAGTAAATCACGTCACGGCACGCTTTGTCAGATCAATATAAATGAAACATTACGATTTTGTAGAAAACTATTATCGTTAGTTCTTTTTCATTGTTTGTTCATTAATGACACAATTATTAAAATGACACCAATTAATAAAAAATCGGCCATATGGGCATATTATGAGATTTGTAGTGAAAATAATAAACAAAAATCATTATTCGAGTTTTTTGACGAAACATGATTTGAGACCTGCCCTTCATTTTTCGGTATTGGGCCGAATAGTACCTATTATTCGGCCGAATACCGAATACCAAAGTGGCCGAATAGGCCGAATACCGAATATTCGTGGCATGTCTAATTGTAACGTCACTAAAAAAGGCAAAGACAAAACAATCATAATATAGCATTTGTCTATTCTTTTTGTGGTTTTTCTTAAGCTTTCGTAAGGATAGTGTTAGTAATAAATAGAAGTTGGAAATACTTACCCTTACTTACTTCAAGAAGAAATGTCAATAACAAAACAAAAGACAGAAATGGAATTTTGACCATTCGATGGATTTATAGATGTATGCAGTGAGGACAGACCTATGCAGGCTCTGCATGGCCTGCCATGAATTAAGTTTTTTTGCTTAAATCTGTGGGCGTCTATCACCCACCTGTTGTTAAGTGGCTACCAGAGCCCTCAGCCATCAATAACGTAAATTTCGCCATCTACATGAGTTCTGAGTATACGTTTTACAGTACAATGGCTGCCTTTCAACCGGAACACATTACTGCTTCACGGCAGAAATAGTCATGGTCGTGGTATCTACCCGCGTGAGCTCACAAGACGACCTAACACCAGTCGAGACAGATGGGTTATTATTCATGATGTTCATTTGTCATTTGATTCTCCACAGATGATGACGGTAACCTCACTGACCTGGGTGCTGTGATGGCGGAGTTCCCCCTCGACCCACAGCTGGCCAAGATGCTGATAGCCAGCTGCAATCACAACTGTTCCAACGAGATCCTCTCCATCACTGCCATGCTGTCAGGTAGGATGTTCCGTATCTGTGCTTACAGATAGCCCGGTCATCGTTCTCGCCGAACCCGTCGCTTGCGACGAAGGGCTCGACGAGTGAATTAACCCACAGACACAGCCCACTGAGTTTCTCGCCGGATCTTCTCAGTGGGTCGCGTTTCCGATCCGGTGATAAATTCTGCAAAGCACTGCTCTTGCTAGGTGCTCGTGTTAGCAACGACGTCAGGTTTGAGCCCCGTGAGCTCGCCTACTAGTTAAGGTTACACTGAAATAGCCTCTCAAGGGTCTCGGCTTAGGTAGGAAAAAAAAACCCAGATAGTATTCGACTTGCTTTAAGTGATTTCTCGTTGGGTATACGATACTGTCTGTTTATTTAAAGAAAAAATCACAAGCCACACTTCACTAGTTTGTTTTAATAGAAATTTATTTTCATAAATTGTTCAGCTCCTGAACTGGAGGCAGCCTCTATCTACAGACTATTAACTTGGAGAATATACTAGGCAACTACTGTATGCGCGCGAGTTCATGTCCATCGGGGCCACGCGCGGGGGACAGCCCTCGCCCCCGCCCGCCTCCCCGCATTTGCCTGACGTCGAGTGTTGTCCTTGACGGTTGTGACGCGCGCTTATCGATATCGAAATTTTACGCTAACGCTATTGTGTTATTTAACCATGACTACTCCGCTTCCAACAAGTACAGATAGAGAAAAACCTACTGAAAAAAGATACATACTGATTCCGACTGATCTGTCGGTTGTCTTTTCATTCGATAGTGATTGAATTGGAATTTAAAAAATATTTATTTTATTTCATAAATTGCAAAATTACCTTAAGTTACATTAAACCAAATTGACAGCTGTTGACTAAATCGGTAACTATTATCGACATTACCATAATTAATTAGGTCACAGCACTACCGCATTCCTCAGGATGGACATGAACTCGCGCGCCTAGTAGGTCAAGATGCTGAAACTACATAATATTCAAGAAGGATAATGCGATTACAATCGCAAATAAGACGCATCATGTAGCTGAATGCACCATAAGCCCATACAAAATAAGTTTTTTTTGTTCCAAACGATATTTATTGTATTAGTAATGGTTATATCGCTCATCGATGGAGCATGAGACAAAAAATTGTTGGAGAGTGCGGAGTTGAGTGACCCCTCCCAGCACTAACGCTTCCTCACCACATTTGTCATAAACCTAGGGGCCTGTTTCGAACCCAATGAAGGAAGTTTTAAGGATGACATTTGTTCTATGCATCCATGGGAGTCAAAAGCTATTGTTTTTGTTAAACGAAGACGCTTATAATGTCACTGTCGTGCGAAAGAGGCAGCGAGACTACCCGTACACTGGCTCCACATTAGCAAAGGAAACATCCCCACTGCTCTGTGCTGCTGTTCATACTACCTTCATAGCTTCATATTGTTACGCGCTAAAATAAATTCGGGATAAGTTCGGGATAAATAAAATTCCACCAAAGTACACCTAAAAACTGTATTCAACACTTAAAACACTCAACAAACACTTTAAAACTCTCAATTCGCTTCTTCCGCTTCGCTTCAGGTGATCCGTTCGCTGTTTCGCTTCGAGTAGTTCCGATTACTGACTGACTGCGTGACATCTCTACAACGCTTTTATAGCCGATACCAAATCCCTAGAATTATCGAGAATATTCCACACATCTCTAGTATTGTGTGTTTCCGCTATTTGACAATAGATGGCGTTGTACTTCTCGAGCGTTCTAGGTGCTACTATATCCTTCAAATATTCGTTCGACTATTCGGCGATAGATGGCGTTACTCTTACGGGCGTAACAATATTATATTAATAATTTTCAGTGCCGCAGTGCTTCGTGAGACCAAACGAGGCGCGGAAGGCTGCGGACGAGGCTAAAATGCGTTTTGCCCACATCGACGGTGACCATCTTACGCTACTGAACGTATACCACGCCTTCAAACAGAGTAAGTAGAGCATTTTTTTTATTGCTTAGATGGGTGGACGAGCTCACAGCCCATCCGGTTTTAAGTGGTTACTGGAGCCCATAGACATTTACAACGTATATGCGTCACCCACCTCGTGATATACAAAAAAAAAAACTTATTTCAAGGTGCTACCCCATAATTCGAGTCCCTACAGCCAAACTGGCTTAAGGATAACTTTGTAGATTAAAAGTTTGTTGTCAACACTTAGCTTGCTGTTACGTCCCAACAGCCAATGGAGATTTTTGTATTGGATGTTTAGTTCCTGTCTTTTAGTTTGGATGTGGTGTTTCCATGTTAGGCGGCGGTCCAAGTGCATTCCCAGGTATCTTACATTGTCTTGATGAGGCAATATACCGTAATTGACATGGACAGGTGGACAATCACTTTTTCACAATATCAATGTAACATGGACCGACTTGTTTGCACTGGCTCTTATTCATCCACCCATATAAGCATTAAAAATAAAATAAAAAAATAACCACTTAGCTATTGGTGGCTTTTCGTTTTTCCAAATAATGCAATTATTTTCTGTATAAAAAAATAATACAATATTATATTTCATTTTCAGACATGGAGGATCCCCACTGGTGCTATGATAACTTCATCAATTACAGATCGCTAAAGTCGGGCGACAACGTCAGACAGCAACTTAGCAGGATTATGGACAGGTTTGTTTGTGAATAGAGCAAGGGGACTTGTTCGGAGTTCAAAATTACCTATGATGTGTGGTAGGTAGCCATCATACAAGATAGTTGAAAGACGCCTGAATCTCGCTTACGACATTTTCAAGATAAGCTCACATATATACAAGTTCCGAACAACAACATTCAGACCGTCGGTCTACTGAGCAATGTTACCCGCTCGGTGAAAGATCTTCCCTTTGTCGTTTAAGCCTCTACAGATGTGTCTGAGGAATGTTCTCTGATACCTTAATGATCAAGTCTGATGAATGATGATGAAATTTAAAAGCTCTATAACTTAGTCATTTTTAACAAAAAAATGAAACCACATTTCTATGAAATTGTGATAAAATTCTTCAGATAGAGTAGACAGGTAGAATTTATGTTTGCAAAAACAAACCACGTGAAGCATTTGTCGCTTGCAATTGTTGCAATTATTATTATATCCTTGTTTTATTTACAGGTTTAATTTGAAAAGAACAAGCACAGAATTCACAAGCAAAGATTATTACATCAACATACGGAAGGCACTTGTAAATGGATTTTTCATGCAGGTATTGTCAGTTTGAGGTATTTGGTATAAGTAACATACACATAGTGACTTGCAAGCCCACACACACCCCACCCTGTGAGATGTGGTGATGTTGGTGATTAGTGGTCGTGGTCATTTACGACCGGACTGTGACATGATAGTGTCAATTTATTATTTTCTACTGAACTGTAGAGTTGACCTCTGAAATTTGAAAATGCACCATGGATTAACAGTGGTTAAAACCATTGTTTGGTAGGCTGCTTCAGAAAGAGCTGGTGTAACAGTACAATGGAGAACACTAAAACAATTGCTGTGAGCACTTTCCCGTTGAACCTCATACACACATCATCTAATTCTGGATACTTGTATATACTAATGTTAATGAATCCATGTTAGTATTTGCTATCGCCCTATCACTGATTAGCCACTTGGTGAATTACAAAAAAAAATGTAATTTTTTGAATAGAAAAATATTTACTAACAGTACTTAACACATTCAAAATAATATTTGAATTTTTTTTCTAATCTTCCTCATACACATAACATCATGATGATCGAGATAATTCAGTCATTTGGTTGTGTTTATTAGTTAATGAAGCTGGTTTGTATCAATAGCAGTTGTATGTCGGGTGTTCCAGGTGGCGCACCTCGAGAGGACGGGCAGCTACCTGACGGTGAAGGACAACCAGGTGGTACAGCTGCACCCCTCCACGTGCCTGGACCACAAGCCCGACTGGGTCATATACAACGAGTTCGTGCTCACCACCAAGAACTACATTAGGACTGTCACTGATATCAAGCGTGAGTGTTACATTATTCAAACTCAATGTTTTTACTACAACTAGTGGTTTCCCAGTAGTAGAGATTCGACTATAACACGGGTCATGGTGTTCAAAAACATGGTAGTGTGTGTAATGTTTTTTTTTATTGATTTAATGTATGTATTATTTATGCATAATTTAAAAAAAATATTAACATTCTGCACTCCTTCTCGATATTCTCTATAAGTGTGGAAAATTTCATACTGCTTCCGTCTGCGCAATTTTCGTGAAAAGGGATACAAAGTTTTTGCGTCACGTATTAATATATAGATTATGTTAACAGCGGAATGGCTGCTGAAGATCGCTCCCCAGTACTACGAGCTGGGCAACTTCCCGCAGTGCGAGGCGCGGAGACAGCTGGAGCTGCTGCAGGCCAGGCTCGACTCCAAACACTACCAGGAGGGCTTCTAGAATAAAGTACACATCATAGTATCCGTTGAGTGTGTTTTTATTTCGTAACTATAGTAGAATTATTTTGTTGGTGCAGTTCGGGTCATAAAACATAGCCCGGCTAGGGCGAGAAGCGTGTTTCGCGGGCGTAACGCCATTATCGATAAAAACAAATGAGTCATCGAAGGCAGGTACACGGCGGCGGGGTGGTATACGAAGGGTGATGAGACATTGTTATGTTATGAGTCATTTGTTGTACTTACCTGCAAGTTCTCTTCGACATAATGTACTATACATTATATTGAAGAGTAATGTGTTTTTATGCATTCACTCTCTGAATTTCTTTAGACACAACTACTACTCCTTTGTTTTTTATCAAAACTAGAATTTATTCAAAATAATATTTGCACGTGTTGTTATCAACAATGTATTAAAAATTTTCACTGAAATAAGAATAGATCCCGCAAAGTTACAAAGTGTTAATTTCTGCCGTTGTCGTTAGCTTGCTGCGGCGATATGCGGTGTAAGTGTTCGATTAGTGATATTTTCTTTCATTTTTATCACTAACCCACAAAATGGCAAAACTAAATACGCTATCGATAACGCTTATTATCGATAACAATAATGCGCATCACTATGCCCGTCCGTAAGGCTCGTGAGTGGAAGAGAGAGCGAAACACTCGCTTCACCGCTCCGACTATTTATGACTCAAACTGCACGGACAAAATAATCCTACTATAGTGGGGAAGCGGGCCGCGACGCGCACGCCATCAATCCTACGTTGACTGTGTAAATACCACACGACCTTTTAACGGAAATATAGAATAAGAATACACATGTGCAGTAAAAGCTCTTTATCCGCGGAATATATGTCTCGTAATACGCCGCGATTATCGAATGGTAATGATATTATGATAATGGATATGTATATAGTCATCATAGAACACAAGATATTTGACAAAGGCCTGATTCTCGCTTACAACATTTTCAAGATAAGCCTGCAATAACAATATCACCAGCTCGGTGGAAGATCTTCCTTTGATCGTTAAACATTCCATAGACATTCGGTTGGATACATACATATTGGATTCCTTTTTATCAATGTGTACGTACCAATTTACCAATTAGATTGGCGAGTAAATAATTAGCCGCGTATATAGGAATTGGGTTGCTTTTTTTTAATTGGGGAATAGTGTAAAAGGTGAATGAAGGAACCGCGAATAAGGGGCTTTTATTGTAATTTAACAACTAAAAAAACACCACAAGAGCAAGCCGACATCAAAATTAAAATATTTTACATTCAGGAGCTTTTGGAACCCATCGTTAAGGTAAAAGTTAATGACAAAGAGACTACAATTATTAAAAATAAAGAAACAAAAAACAGTTCAACATTTTATTTACCTACAACTGAACAACTACATGCGATATTACAAAACACACACTTGGAATATGTAATATAATATTATATATTTACAACCAAACACCGACGCTCAGTGATGCTCAGTGACGTTCCTCACCATTAAGGACAAAGTGGAACACAATGTTTTCAAATTCCAAATTCACAATTACTTCTAAACTAGAATCTATATAAAAAAATATAGTTTAAATATCGCGACCGCACCGGAAAGACAAAAAAATCTACATACGTTCGTATTAGTGATCTTTGCAAAAAGAAAACAATGTTAAACTACCAAAAATTAACGAAATGCAATAACAGATTGTGACCGTTTATTTTTTTTGTAAACTATTTTGATGGCCAAAAATTTTCAAAGTACCCGCATTCTCTTGTCACGGTTCACAGAAAAACCAATTGTAAATTAACAAGTTTATTACTAGATATGACGTAACACGCGCACGCTCAACTCAGCTGTTACCAAACACGTGTCGGATAAAATTATGTTTAAATCATAATATTACAAAAACTAGACTACTCTAGTAAGGTTATTGACCCCGAATTATGCACGTCATACATTGCACGCTACCAACCGGAACGATCCTTGGATCAGCATATGAAGATTGCTTTAGGAAGCAACTTTTATACCTTTTTATTAATAATTAAAACCATAGCTGTCCGTGGATACTGTATAAAGTATTGTAACAATAAAACGAAACAAATCAGTGAAGTTGTTTTTAATTATATCTGCGACACGCCAACGCTTCAACAACTATCAGACCGGTCCAGACAGAAGAATGGTGATGGTTTGGATTAAATTGAGAATTTCATTTGTTTTTTTTTTGTTTTTACATTTATTTCGCCACCCCAACCAAAGCTGGTCTGACGCATCTCTCGTGCAGTTTGTAGCCGACCTTACTGACGGCCACCACTGTGCCTGACTCGGCGCCCTCCACTTCCTGCAACCATAACCGTTCACAAAATTAGATATATCAGATATAATCAGAGCAATAAAAAAAAACGACTGCCCCACTTTTAGGTTCCCACCGGTCGTTGGTAACCAGGCTTTCGATCCTTGGAATGGCTGATATCCACAAGCCAAGGTGACCTAACATCATGCGGGCTGTCGTTACCTCTATTAATTCGGAATAATGTTTATCAGTGTGGTTAGTGCGAGTTTTTTAACGTTCTCGATAGCGTAAAAGTTAACTCAAATTTGTATGCAGTTGGAACAGCGCCCCTAGTGGCAAGCATTATCATCATCATCATTCTCCTGCCCTTCTCCCAGTCACCTGGGGTTGGCGCAACATGTTTTCTCCTTCCATATACCATTCCTTCGCTCACTCCCCTCTTACACATATCATCTTCACGCAGCCATTTCTTCTTAAGTTTACCTCTTCCTCTAACCTCGGCAAACGTTATACTCCATAAAAATTTGAGTTAATTTTTACGCTATCGAGAATGTTAATAAAACTCGCACAAAGCTACTGTAACATAAGGATACAAATAGCATTCGAGAAAACGCATTTTATTAGCGCTCTTTATATTACACGCAATGTATGAGCAAAGGTTCGATAACCCCGAACGCTCCCTTGCGCGAGTCCACAGATCTGTCCGTCAGTGTCGAGTGGTCGTTGGACCACCCTGTAAGAAATACGGCGGAGCATCAAACGAAGTAGCGGGGGTACTGACCTGCTGGAATAATGCTTCATGTAGATTCGGGTCGAATTTCTCGCGGAGGGGAGACACCGGGACCAGGCCGTGCCGCGCGAACACCTGCCGACAACAGACGCTCAACATAAGTAAGGTCATCTTGCAAAGGTCGATGGCGCGATTCAGGATATTTCATTATTTCTATGCTATGACTCGTAGTACTACCGGAGCATATAGGAATATTATGTGTTACAAAACTACCCGTAAAGCCGAAAGGAGGTTAAATGGGGCCTTCCTTATAAGCAGTCCATTCACAATATTTAAGAACCGTAGTAACGCTGACTAAGCTTATGTAAAAAAAAAAAAATGTTTTCACTGGTGTGCAAACCATATTTCAGTAAAATTACAGAGTAAACTACGCAGGTATACCTACATTTTTACCTAATTCGCGGAACGACAAAAATTTTAAAAGATTTGTAATGACTACATATTTTTTGACGTGACAACGTCTTATAATTCGATGGAGCCGGCTGCACGCACGAAAAAACATGACTCGTTGAGGCGTTCCATTTAAGGCTTGGAAGTGCAAGCGAGAGCGCGCAACGAGCGACAAAAAGGCACAATCGGCCTCCGCGTTCGGCAGCGTTCGACATCTGTCTCTCTCCCACTTGAGTGATAGATGCATCCGCGTGGACAGCTGCTATACAATAAGTAATACATTTACATGTTTTCGTCAAGTATGAAGTTCAGCGATAATTGAAAAATGAAACCATTCCATAAGTATTTTCTTATGACGTTGTCACGTTCAACTATCGTCAGTAAACCGATTTTACAGACAACCGATTTTTTTTGAAGCGGTGTTTTAGTATAATGACATGATAGCGGTAGGCAGCGGCTTGGCTCTGCCCCTGGCATTGCTGAAGTCCATGGGCGACGGTAACCACTCACCATCAGGTGGGCCGTATGCCCGTCTGCCCACAAAGGCAAAAAAAAAAAAATTGTATTGAGGTAGCAAACATTTATGAATGAAAAATAAAAAAAACTTAAAGTAGACAATTATTAGGTAAAATAAGTAGGTACTTATATAGGCCTTTCTATTAAATAATCTGGTTACCTGACATAACAGTTTAATAGGGTTGACAAAATTTTTGGGCTTTGATAATTAATTATATTCTTATGGGGTATTTTGTAACATGTTGTTTAAGCAAGCTTATCTTGAAAATGTAAACGAGATTTAGGCATCTATCAAATATCTTGTGTTGTATGATCGATGATTTTACTGGTGGTAGGACCTCTTGTGAGTCCGCACGGGTAGGTACCACCACCCTGCATATTTCTGCCGTGAAGCAGTAATGCGTTTCGGTTTGAAGGGCGGGACAGCCGTTGTAACTATACTGAGACCTTAGAACTTATATCTCAAGGGGTGGCGCATTTACGTGGTAGATGTCTATGGGCACCAGTAACCACTTAACACCAAGTGTGTTAAGGGCCAGGCTGTGAGCTCGTCCACCCATCTAAGCAATAAAAAATAAATTTAAAAAAACCGCCACAATAATAGCCAATGTGAGCCTATACCGTGCAATCTTAGCTACACTCCTGTCACATCACAACTCTCCTAGTCCATAATCAGGCTGACCTGTCCTAGTTGAGCCCTCGTGAGTCGCACACCGTCGTGCAGGGCTCGTAGGGCGCCGCCCTCGGCCTCTGCCCCCGCTCCCTCTGGTATGCTCTCTGCTGCAGCCGTCAATGTGTCTGCTACCTGTGATAACCCGATACAATAAAACATTTGTACACATTTATATGTTTTTCAGTGGGTCGCAATTCCGATCCGGTGGTAGATTCTGTGAAGCACTGCTCTTGCTAAGGCTAGTGTTAGCAAATACTCTCAGGTTGAGCTCGTGAGCTCACCGACACATTAGGGTGCAGCTGAAATAGCCTTAAGGCTATCAGCAAATAGTAGGTTAGGGAAAAAAAAATGTTTTTAACCTATTGCATAGCTTTTATCGCGGGATTTGAGCGCGGCAACCGAATCAAGAAATTCCGTAACGAAAATAAAACCTAACACCCCCACTCCGCCTATCATGTAACTCGCGGTGAACACATTCACACGTTGCGCTTGTGTAGTGTTTGTGAATAAGCGCGCGGCGTGACGTCGCACTGCATGCGCATCATGAAAAGTCTGCTATCTCTCTCCCTCGCACGGTCTAGCTTATTGGTGTGAAGGGGACAGTGAAAGTTTTGCTTATAAATATAGCGTGGTCTTATTTTATTATTCTTGTTTTAATATTAAATTATTATTGTCTAATTACAATTGTATGAGTTGACAAAAAATGCTATGCAATAGCTTTTCCGCGGCAGTCCCCGAGTGCCACACGTGTTTTTTTTTCAGTTTCAATTTCCCAGTACAATGTCCGGGCCATTATGTAATACAAGCGCCTTTGACCTCATGTCTCAAGATAAGGATCTACATCGGGTGGACCATGAACTGTTTCATTGATCAACAAAAATTTGGTTACACTCTACCTCTAGCAGATCCTTGCAGAAGCTCTGTATGGCAAAGGACTTGGCGTCTTCGACTTGTTTCAACATCCTCTTCCGTACATTCTCGCCGTCCGCTAACGCTCTCTTGTATTTGTCCTGCGAGATGGTGGTTTTTTTAGTACATTGGTTTAATTCAAAATTTTTAGTCAAAGGTTTCAAAATGCTTTTAGATGTTATTTGAATATTTAAAATTGAATATAAACATATTGTGTGCAGAAACCTGGCCTTTAAGAGAAGATATCCTGTAATAGTGGCATGTAGTATCAGTGAATGGTTTCCTGAAGCTTTAGATATTCCAAAATTCCAAAGTAAATATCACATTGAGTATTTAATTCAAAGCCTCTAGTGTATTGTGTGCGTGTGTGTGCATGCGTGTGGGTGTGTGTGTGTGCTTGCATGTGGGTGTGTGTGCGTGCGAGTGGGTGGATGTGTGTGCGTGTGCGTGTGAGTGTGTGTGTACCGATTCACTTCTTCTTGCTGTTATCCTACTGCGGATTTAATGCAGTATAGCTTCTATCATACACCATCTCTGCACTTACACATCTCGTATATCCTCTTTCACAGTAAATTTCATCTTTGCCAGCAAAACACTTATTTTTTACGATTTCTTTCTACCTTTTCTACACAACACCCCTTGACCTGCTCTTTAATAATGAGAAAGATGTAAGTAAGTAAGAGTTAGCTCAATACTTACATTAATGTCATTGAATTGTTCTTTAATAGAATTAACTTCATTAGTCAAACTTTCAATTTGTTTATGACATTCCTCTATGGTGGCCGGGAGCTTGTCATTTGACTCCGACTCGGCTGGCTTCTCTGCACTGAGCGCACGAACGGATGGTCTAATGGAAAATAAAAATATTCCATAACATCTAGCCTAATACTACTCATTTACTTAGAAGATTTTAGAATTGTAACTTTAATAGAAGTTAGTTGATGGAAATAAGACAGCACAGCAGTACTTGGAATTTAAGCCAGATAACTGTACCCGTGTAGACTCACAAGAGGTCCTACCACCAGTAACCAGTAACCACCAGTTGCACAAGTATTTTATAGTTACAGTAGTTGTTCTAAAATATAATTGTGATTTCAGCCTTTTGTCTCAAATTCATTCACAATTCACAAGACATTCACCTTAAGGTGTGTATAGGATCCAGCAGCCACTTAACACCAAGTGGGGAATGACCTTGTTGATTGTGCAATATAAACATGCTCAATTTATCATCCACTAATGATTTTCAAATTGGGACAGTTCCCTTGCCTCTCAGTCATATACCTTCACATCTTTTCAACAATTAAAATTTGTTAAGATAAGATCAAATCTTGGTCTTATATGTAGTTTAATATATTATGGAGAATGTTACAGAACAAATAGAGGGTGACTTAAAGGAATTTTAATGAGTATTTAGTAAATCCTTTTTAGTGTTGTCACTAATTTCCGCTGGTCATAAAGGTAATCTATGTCTTAACGTGATTTATATCTGATTGCTTTGTAGAATATAATTAATTTTATAAAATTGTATTAATATATATAGCATGTATTAATTTATTTATAATTTAACACTGGAGATAGTGTTTATCAAAGATGTTTTAAGTTTGAAAATTACGAGAATTATCTATTTTAGGTTAGAACATTGTTGATTATTGCGCAATTATTACCTGAAAGTTTTGATCGTTAGATTTGGTCTCAGCGTGGTATCCGCCAAGTATTTTGCTATTCTCCCAAATGTATAAGCTTTTAGAGCCATTATTCCCTATATTTTATTCACCAAATTTGAAATAAGCTCAACATCTAAAGAGGTTATGTCAGAGTATGTCAAAATTGTCAAATATTGTGTTTTGTCAGTTCACTCACTGTACATTATCAATCTGTCAAATTTTTATTTTTACTCTATGTGTTTTTACCTACGTTCTGACATAAATTTATCGAATAAAATCAGGCTCGCAAAAATTATATTTCGTACCTAATTATTGATGATATACACAAATACCTACAAATTTTTGCCACGAAGCAGTAAGGCGTTCTTATAGTTTCAATATTGTGATGCCTATTGCTAGCCTGTCAACCCAGAGCATAAGCATTAGTTGTTCAATATCTATGTAATAAAAAAATCCACTAAAAGATGATTATCAATCAGACAATCAAATCATTTGTTCTAAAAACTATATTCGAAAGTATAAAATTGAGATTGATACATCGATTAATTTAATATTATTACTTCATTGCTTTTAAATTATGATTCTATTACTTTTACCCACCGATAAGCCGCCTACGAAAACTACAAAGTTTTCGAAACTTCGGAAATAGTAAAATTCAAGTAATCATTTTAAAATGAAAGAAAACAGTATTATTTTATATTGTCTATATGTGAAAACGGTGATAGGCTAATGCTAATTAAGTATAAAAGATTAATTTTCAAAATTTTCATTCTGCAATACGACTAATTCGAAAGGAATGAAACATTCTTGTCACGCATTTATGTTGTGTGCCTGCTTACTATATTTTAATTATATTTAGATAATAACCACAAAAGAATATAGCTAACACACAAAATGTCAAAATAAGATTTTTTCCAATTTTCCAATTCTTCTACAAACAAAATATTCCATCATCGACTAAGTAACGTGAAGGAATCATTGTTTACGTCAACAGACTATATTTTAAGATTGCCAAAATTACGTAATTTCGACCAAAACACTCTATCCGCAATCTTTCCGGAACGTGATAAATGACGTAAACTGGTTAACATTTGCAATGAACTTGAAATGAAATGGAACGTCTTATAATCACACATAAAAGAATGACCAGTTATTTCTTGAAGGTTGGCGGGTGTGTTTGTGATTTTTGCTAAAATGGCTTCTGTTGCTTTCTTTGATTTTGATCGTACAATAGTTGATGACGATTCTGATGCCACGATAATTAATAAATTAAGAGAGAAAAAGCCCCCGCCTGACTGGGAGAGCAGTAACCACGACTGGACTCCGTACATGAGTGATGTGAGTGTTGAGGATTTTATTTTTCTGATAAAACCTTTTTTTATTAATCTCATTTATAATTTCCAATTGGATCCAAACTATGTACATACCTATTTAATTATAGGGTTTTTTTAAGATTAAACACTTACAATCAGATTGTATATGTATTTTTTTTTTTTAAAAACAAGGACAATGTTTTTTTTTAAAAAAACAAGGACATGTACAAATATATTTGGAAATTCTTAAAAATAATTGAACGTGTCTAAAAATAAATGGTACTAAATTATATACCTACGTATTAAAAGGAAAATTTGTTAGGAATAAATTTACATGAAACATACGGAAATAATGTTTGAAAATAAATCATAAAATATAATGATAGGAAATAGGTAAATATGTATTAATATAAAGAAGATATTTTCATGAAGGTTTTTTATTGGCAATTTGGATAGCTCAGTTAGTCCCAGCTAGTTGGTGATACCCATTCGCGTCACACAAATTCACTGAATCTCAAAGCAACCGATGCGTGGTTAATAAATACAGTATAAAGCTCCTTATTCGCGGTTCCTTCATTCTCGTTTTCACTATTCGCGGATTTAAAAAATCCGACCCAATTCCTTTGTTCGCGGCTAATTGTGGATCTAATTGGTACATATACATTTGATAAAAAGGATTCGAATATATAGGTATCCAATCGACTATCCTTAGTAAACGCGTAGTCAAATAGACTAATAAAAAAGTAAAATAGACCTTATTAAAACAATCCCTAAAGTAGGTTTTTATTTTGTCACCTACCTAAGGTATCACCTGTAATCCCTATATAATTTGCGTAATTACTGGTTGTAGGAGGTTTTGTGAGTCCGCACTGGTAGGTACCACCGCCCTGTCTATTACTGCCGTGAAGCGGTAATGCGTTTCGGTTTGAAGGGTGGGGCAGCCGTTGTAACTATACTGAGACCTTAGAACTCATATCTCAAAGTGTGTGGCGGCATTTACGTTGTAGATGTCTATTGGCTCCGGTGACCACTTAACGTCAGGTGGGCCGTGAGCTCGTCCACCCAGCCCAGCACTAAAAAAAAAACCATTTCACATTCATGTGTTTCTATATACGCGGCATATTTACAGACATATACCGCGCGTATAAAGCGCTTACTGTACTCGTTAAAATCATGAAACTGCGTGTATCAGACGCGCTGAGGACGAGGAAGAGGAAAACGAGAGCGTACTTTGGCACCAGATCAAATAGCCGCAAAACTTTCGACCACTGACTAATTAATTCTGTGGAAGTTTATTCCTAACCACTATAATAATTGTAAATAGACATGCTTTAACAAAAACCGACTTCGAATAGAAAAAAAAAGATATTCCAAAACAAATTAATATACACTAAAAACAATAATAATCGAAATCGGTTGGCGTGATATCGAGTTATTGAGTTATTCATCTATTTGTCGCGCACGTACTTAATGCAAATTGAAGACTTATATGGTTTTCTCATGGATACCATTATCAGAACTGGACTCGAAATGACCTTGATCTTCGATGTGGTAACGCGACCTATTTTCTACTATGTCTTTTGTTAAATCGCTCCCTGACCCTCTCCGTAATAATACCGGACATGTATTTCTGCCGAGAAAAAGAATACGTCTCGTTTTGATAGGTCGGTCAATCGTGATTAGACACGATTGACAGTTGACACATTCTGATCCGGTAGTAGATTCAATCGCGAAACAGCTGCCCTTGTATTGTTAGGTCTCTTTTGGAGGCGCTCGGGCAGCTGTTAGCAAATCCCACCCCTCCTGGCTGAGCCTTTGCTCGCTCACCTGTATTGGTGAAACTGAAGAGGCCTCCGGGCCACCAGTAATCCAATAGTAACCATTTCGATAAAGCGGCAGGACACGAGAACCCTCTCATCGTGGCTGCCAGTAACTACATAACAGATTCTGCGGACCAAATGGTAAACAGTCGACGTCGCCCAAAACACGTCATCTCGGATCCTCACGATCCACTAACGGTGCTTTTAGGTACCTCAAGCACGGGTCATCGTTCTCGTCGAACCAGTCATTCGCGACGAAGGGCTCGGCGAGTAAATTAGCCCACAGACACAGCCCACTGAGTTTCTCGCCGAATCTTCTCAGCGAGTCGCGTTTCCGATCCGGTGGTAGATTCTGCGAAGCACGGCTCTTGCTAGGGTTCGTGTTAGCATCGTCGTCAGGTTTGAGCCCCGTGAGCTCACCTACTAACCCAGTGACGCTGACATGCTCTCTCTAGATCACCAGCTTAGGTAGGAAAAAAAAAACAATAGTAAGTCATTCATAAAAAAATCCCGCATTCCCTGTGTCATGTCAATGTACTTTCGTGATCACTACTACCTTAAAGTTAGGTCGTAAGTTCGTCCATTATTGAATATCGAAGTCTTCACCATAAACCCTTCATAAGTTCTTTCGTACATGTGCAAAAGAATTAGGTCAGGCATTTGTCGAACCGTAGACAAAGGAACAATGAATGATCCATCACAACGAGGCCTCTTACGAAAATAAACAAATACGATGACGTCATTAATGAGCTCATCAGGGGTCTGGTTAATACAGCTCGTGAATCAAAGTGATGATACAGCACAAGGTAGTAAGGGAGACCGAATTGGCGGACCATACTGCAATGTGGAAGTTGACAAAACTAAGGCGCTTTTCTAGCTAAGCGTCCGATGTCTATAGGGGTCAGGAGTCAGGTAGTGGCGGGTCGCCCCTAGTTCTCACCCTGCACGGTTTTCCGACAAGGTATACGAACAATAGCAATGGTTAGTAAGCCGCCAAACGTTGAAGACCGCCGCCAAGATGCAGACTTTAGTCTGCGTGAGCCACGAATATTCCTTCAATATACGTATTGTATTTTGTACTAAGCCAGCGAGTACCTCGGCGAGCATGTTTTCTTTAAGCATGAGAACACCTAGTAGCCTACGTGGTTATTCCAGCTACGCCCAGACGGGGAGGTGAGCTCACGGGCTCAACCTGAGGGAATTTGCTAACACTAGTCCTAGCAAGAGTAATGCTTCGCAGAATCTACCGCCGGATCGGAATCGCGACCCACTGAGAAGATCCGGCGAGGAACTCAGTGGACAGTGTCTATGGGTTAGTTCGCTCGTCGAACTATTCGTCGTGATCGACGAGTTCGACGAGGACGGTGACCAGTGCTCTAACCAAGTACTCCAATCAACTAATGGGACCAGGGCTCTAAAAGCACCGTGAGTGAATCCGGGGGACAAGATATGTTTAGGGCGACGGCGGCTTGGCGTTGCCCCGTTGCGGTCGGATAAGACACGGGGCGTCTTATCCTTTAGACGATATTGATTACTCCCGGGTCGGATAGAGCAATGTGGATCATAATAACTGACTACCCCTTGTTAGCAATAATAAGAAAAACCTATTGGTTTTGATAAACAAACATTTTTCAAGCACACTTCTAGCGTATATCTCAAGGTGGATATTGGCAGCGTTATGACGCGTCCAAGGACTGATCTAATAGCGAATTGACAGTTCTGGTTGCTCTGTTAAAGAACTTCTTACAATTCTTAAGGTATTTGAGCACGCATACTCAGCCGGTCTAAGCGAAGAGGACATCCTGTCGTGCATAGCGTCAATGAAACCGAACCTCGGGGTGCAGCAGTTGATCAGGACGCTGTCCCAACAGGGCTGGGAGATTGTGGTCATCACAGACGCGAATAGTGTCTTCGTCAATCATTGGCTGACGGAGCACGGGTTGTTGGTACGTGAGAGTTTATTATTAAGTCTTGGGTTTGTGTGATATTAATAACAAACATGTTTGGATCGGATTTCCTTCCCAATTTTACAGGTTAGGTCCGTTTCATTTGGTATCAGCATCAACAGTTCGATGTTTTTAATTGAACTTCAATTAAGTTTCCTTCATACATATACTGGTGGTCGGACCTCTTGTGAGTCCGCACGGGTACCACCACCCTGCCTATTTCTGCCGTGAAGCAGTAATGCCTTTCGGTTTGAAGGGTGGGGCAGCCGTTGTAACTATACTGAGACCTTAGAACTTATATCTCAATGTGGGTGGCGCATTTACGTTGTAGATGTCTATAGGCTTCGGTAACCACTTTACACCAGGTGGCCTGTGAGCTTAAGAGAGCTTGGTTGGGAGGTGTTAGTTAATGCATCCGCCGTATAGTTCTGACCTTGCAGGACCTTGCACCTTCAGATTTCCATCTGTTTCGGTCTCTTCAGAATTCCTTAGGCAGTGTCAGGTTAACATCACGACAGGACTGCTAAAACCAATTGTCGCGGTATTTTGATCAGAAGCCGCAAAATTTCAATAGCAATGGGATCGTGTCTCTACCTACAAGATGGCAAAAAATTATCGAACAAAATGGTACCTACATACCTTAGTTAAATGGAAATAAACTATATTAAAAAATGTAGTGAATTTTCTTAAAAAATGCGAACAAACTTTTTCGCCAACCTATTATAAAGTAAAAAGTTGTTTACACTACGAACAGACTACAATTTTATTTATTTATACGTATTGCTAATAAGAGCCCAGGAGCTCATGGATAAAGTGGATGCCATTTACGAGGACGGAGGCTCTATCGTATTGCGTAACGGCTATCCCTACCCTAAAAACAGGGTCGCATGATTCACGCGTCTGCCCTGCCGCAGTTATAGCTCTGAACAACCTTGGAGCAGTTAACACCGACGATCTAATACTGTTTCCTGTTTCGTTCGAAAAATAAACACACTTTTACAAAAGCGCTAATCACGAGCCGAACAATTAGCATTGTTAGCACGCGTCTATTTGAAACAAGGACAATTGTGTGACAAAATTCTGTCCTTAAGTCCGGCGTCACATGTGCCGGGGTTCGAATCTCGCAGACGCACATTGTTCTCACGAAATATGTGCTCACGAATGACCTCCACGCTGATGGTATACCTAGAGTATTAAAATACAATATAAACCCGCATTATAATTGGTGTAATTACCGGTGGTGGTCTAGTAAGGTCGCACGGATATGTGACACCATCTTGCCTTTTTCTACCGTAGAGTAACAGTGCGTTCCATTATTATTATTATTTTATTGCTTATATGGGTGGACGAGTTCACAGCCCACCCGGTGTTAAGTGGTCATTGAAGCCTATAGATATTTACAACGGCTGACCCGCCCTTCAAACCGAAACGCATTACTGCTTCACGGCAGAAATAGGCAGGGTGGTGGTATCTACCCGCGCGGGCTCACAAGAGGTCCTTACGCAAATTATAATTTTGCGGGTTTAATTTTTATTACACGACGTTATTCCTTCACCGTGGAAGTCAATCGTGAAGACTTGTTAAGTACGTATTTCATTAGTCAAATTAGATCATTACGAGGTAAACGGTGTCGACCAGGACCCGCCAATGAAGGTCCCGTTTTCTTCCCCAGCAATATATAACGAATGTCATCACAAATCGTGCGTTCTGGAGGCACAGCCGTCTGTACATCGAGCCCTATATGAAGCAGACGTCCTGCCCCAGGTGCCCTAAGAACCTCTGCAAGAGCGAGGCCCTGAGACGCTGGTGCTCGGAGAGGCCGGCCAGGCGTATCGTGTATGTAGGGGACGGGAGAAACGATTACTGCCCTGCCACGTCGCTGCCCCCACACGTGAGTGTTCCGCGGTGGAGTCTCTGGCAAGCCAGGAGGACCACTCGAATAACCTGACGCTTTTTTTTTCCTACCTAAACTGAGAGCCTTAAGAGGCTATTTCAAGGTCCCTCAGACACAGCCCACTGAGTTTCTTGCCGGATCTTCTCAGTGGGTCGCGTTTCCGATCCGGTGGTAGATTCTGCGAAGCACGGCTCTTGCTAGGGCCAGTGTTAGCGTCACTCCGGTTTGAGCCCCGTGAGCTCACCTACTAGTTAAGGTTACGCTGAAATAGCCTCTCAAGGCTATCGGCTTAGGTAGGAAAAAAAACTACACCTTTCTACACTTTATTTTTATAAGTTAAAAAAGATGGTTATAGTTTTTCATTCAACTTTAAATCAAATAGTTTTTTTTTATTTTTTTATTGCCTTTGTAGGCAGACGAGCATACGGCCCACCTGATGGTAAGTGGTCACCGTCGCTCATGGACGTCAGCAATGCCAGGGGCAGAGCCAAGCCGCTGCCTACCATTAAGTACTCTCCGCAAGCCTCGTTTGTGGTAAGCGGTTACCGTCTTAACCCATAGACATTATGGTTAGGCACCACATGTCACCAGAGTTGCGCATATAACCAATCAGAATTTGTTGGTACACCAGACTAGCAGTTACGGGGTCAATTCAAACAAATAGTCGGTGTCGGAACGTAGGCTATGACATTGACAATGTTGATGCGGATGACCGACTTTGGCCACCCGTGAGTGTCTGAAGACAATGAAACATTAATCTTAGCCACTGGTCATTAAGGGCTCTTATCGCGCCGCAGGCGACAGTGTTCCCCCGCCGCGGCTATCCACTGGACGATCTGGTGAAGAAGACGCTCTCGTCTCCCAACCCTCAAGTGAAGGCCAAAGTGATACCCTGGGACAACTGCTACAGGATACTCCAGGAACTCTACCCGGACATTATGGCGGATAATTAGACATTTCACTTTAGATACCAATTTTACTATAGTCAATACTATCTATAGACGACTACGGGAGGGAGCTAATTTGAACTAGTGGTCCCGTAGTAGTCGAAATTCGACCATAATTGTTAATTTCAATTATAATTTTGAACAATATCATGGTTCTATTGTCAAAGACTAATAAACTTCTATAATCACAGATTTCTCCAAGACTATACTATAGACAAATAATATTAAAGACAAACTTAATCTATACTCAATTTGACCATAGACTTTAAACAATAAACAAAAGAGTGTATATGTGCGTGTCTGTCAAATTTTTATTTAATTATTTATTTTATTTATTTGTTAGGCACACAGTGCACATTACAAGCTAGAAAGATAAACAATAAATAAATGGTATTGTCTGTCATGTTTATTTTATTGACTTAGTTAATGTATTATCTAGGCAAAATTAAAAAAAAATATTAACATTCTGCTTACTTTCCTTATATTCTCTCTATAAGTTTGGGTAATTTCACACTTCTCCGTCCGCGAAATTTTCGCGTGCTTAAAATTTTTGCTTCACGTATTAATGTATAGAATTAGAAATCACGACTCAAAATATTAAATATATATAATTAGAACGATACAAAATACAATTTTCAACAATTATTGATTTTGAATACTAATGACCAAATGTGGGTAACTAAGTTGACAGGCGAGTGTACCACGTCCGTCTATCCCTGGTGGTCCCTCTTCAACTCCGACCAGTCTGAAGTCGCTGCTATATTACGTCAGCAGGCCACGCCCTTTTTATTGCTTACATGGGTGGACGAGCTCACAGCCCACCTGGTATTAAGTGGTTACTGGAGCCCATAGACATCTACAACGTAAATGCGCCACCCACCTTGAGATCTAAGTTCTAAGGTCTCAGTATAGTTACAACGGCTGCCCCGCCCTTCAAACTGAAACGCATTACTGCTTCACGGCAGAAACAGGCAGGGCGGTGATACCTACCCGCGCGGACTCACAAGAGGTCCTGCCACCAGTAAAACGGCTAAACTCTCCTTTTGGGTCCGTCGATTTGGAAGTTCACAATATTAGTTGTAGATAGTACTCGTATATAAAAAGCTTTTTGCAAAATTTCAAGTTGCGGATACTCACGGTTTACGAGATATATTTTTTTAAAGTTTCCGTACTTAAATATTAGAAAAATCGTCAAGGTAGATAGGATCATTTGACGTTTCACGTTCCGTTCACGGTAAGCGTGTATTTTGTTAAATTTTATGTCATGTTTTTACCGAAATATATTTTATTATTTTAATATATTCACATAGTAAATTTGTTGTAATTAAAGTGCATTGTAACTGTTTCTGTAATAAGCAATTATATTGACTTTTTTACACAAAAAGTAACAAAACTTTGCTTATACTGTGGAACGGAACGTGAAATGACGCATTTTTTTATAGCGTCTTTTTATTTGTCTCTGTAACAAACTAACTTTTTAAATAAGATTTAAATATAAAACAGTAAAATTGCTCGTGTTTTGGAAATAAAATTGCAAAAATATTCGAAAAATGTCGAAAACCGAATCAGAGCACCCCACTTTCCACCTGGTCTTGTCTGCCCTACCCCTAGAGTGTATATAAAAAACCGGAGGCGCGGAGGGAGAGCAGTCCTCGCCCGCTGTGACGGAGCACGGAAACAGTGCGAGGCGGAGCGGCTGAGCTGGTCGCCGTAGGCGACCTCAAGCCGAAGCTGCGGAGCGGAGTACGAGTGACCGTGCTTTGGCACGCAAGGGCGGAAGGGCTTCTCTTCCCGCAGCGCCGGAGATAAGGCGGATTCAAACTTAAGCTCCCTTGAAACTTAACTAAATAATGCAGTTTTAATCTAAAAAAATAACCATAACCATGGATATCTTCATAGCCATGGGGATCTGCGGCTTGGTGATGGTGCAGTGGTAAGCCCTTACACCCCTCCCTCCACAACTCAAAAATAATGGACCATAATTGAAATTTTAACCCTATGTTGACTAAATAGTGCTATTCTAACCTCAAAACATTAACCGTGGATATCTTCATAACCATGGAGTTCCGCGGAGTGGGGATGGTGCAGGGGATTAGCCCTTACTCCCCTCCCTCCCGATTCAAAAATAGATGGACCCTAATCTAAATTTTAACCTTATTTTGACTAAATAGTGCTATTCTAATCTCAAAACATTAACCGTGAATATCTTCATAACCATGGAGTTCCGCGGAGTGGGGATGGTGCAGGGAATTAGCCCTTACTCCCCTCCCTCCCGATTCAAAAATAGATGGACCCTAATCTAAATTTTAACCTTATTTTGACTAAATAGTGCTATTCTAACCTCACAACATTAACCGTGAATATCTTCATAACCATGGGGTTCCGCGGGGTGGGAATGGTGCAGGGGGTAAACCCTTACCCCCTCCCTCCCCCCACCCCCACCCCGACCCAAAAATCGACGGACCCAAAAGGAAAGTTTAACCAATTTAACGATTTATTTTCAGATGAGTAAACAGAAAGAGTTTAAGTTTCATGTGATTGAATTATTGGAACCTCCATGCATGGATGCTGAAAAATATATTTGCGTTCCGAATTCTTGGCTAAGATTATGTGAAACATCAGATAGTGAAGCTCTCGTTAAATTTCCTTGCGAAGAACTATCAGAAATAAAGAGATGTGCTAAGAATCAAGAAATCTTAGAATACTGGAAAGTTTTATTGGCTGATATAAAGTACAGTACCAGTAAGTCGTAATCATTATCGTTTTATGTGTTCATTATAGGGCCTCTTTTTTTAGGTAGCGATAATATCTGATACGATTTGGCAAACAGTTTAACCTCCACTATGTTTTCTAAAAACTATTTGCAACACCTTGCACAGCAAAATCAAACACAGCAAAATCCTTGCACGAATGTTGTTACTAGAAATTTTTACCAAGAATGCACTGAGCGTTTGTTCTCTAACTGGAAAAAAAGCCAATGCATTCGAAGGACCAATAAGGCCCGGTCTAGATGAACATGCAAGAACTGTTTTATTGAACTATGTTAAGAAACATGCGGCTGAAAAAAATTGGGCTGATTTTGATAGGCAGCTGGTTGTGAACAGTATTCGCAACAAAATGCAAGAAATGAGAGGTAAATATAAAAAAATAGTCGAAAAATAAATAGGCTGTAAGGAAATATTGCTGGCGTGATGGATGGCGTCATTTAATTAATTAGCTGATTGAAGTTGTAACAGGGAAAATCGAACTTCCCAGGGTCATTATCGACCAGTTAATTGACGCCACGGTACGTAAGGGCTCTCCCTTACCGTTCGATTTTGACAAGTAGTTTCGACTTGTCACCGGGCGTGCAAATCGAAAGTCCCCACTGCTGTCCCCGGAAAATGAAGCAGGGCGTAACAATAGAAAAGTTCTAGAACCGAGGCTCGAGAGTATAAAAGGGCCGGTTAGAGAAAGAACAAGGCTTTTTCCCTTCTGGAAGCCAGTGACCTTTTGCTTTTTCCCTTCTGGTAGCCAGTGGCCTTTTGTTTTTTGAGCCAGTACGCTTTTGAGAGAGTGGCCCTTTCGAGAGAAGTCTTTAGTCAGTATAGTGCTGTGTAATAATTGTCATCGAGGTACAGAACAGTCAAGAAGGAAGCCAATTTGTGAACTGGAATTTGGAAACCCTTTATCTGGAGCCAACTAATTCATTGGAGACTAGGAGACAAACCAATAGCTGATCCAATAACTGGTACAAATATGTACTCCAGTTAGGGTGCGAAACGTGACCTTCTGATCACCTTCAGAATCCCATAGCACTTTCCTATATGGACTCTGCCTGAAGCGGGGAGCTCTAGCCAGTCGGTCAAAGGAAGGCTGCTTGACTACGGTAGTAACAGTACACCCCCATTCCCAGCCTCTCTCTCATACAGTAACCCCGGTTGCTGAGAAGTGATCCCGGTGAATCATATTCTGCTTCTTTTATTTAATTTGTATTAATTTATTGTGTAACTTTCTCGCGTGTTCGGTGTATCTACCGACACACCTTCTTTGGTAACTTAAATTTTGTAACTATCTTAACCTCTCACTAGTATTATAATCTTATAACTATTATTGTAAATTAACTATTTATTTGGATGGGACTCAAATAACTCTTAACCGATTCAGGTAAAAACCTGGGTGTTATTGTAGATTGACATCTTTCGTGGAGATCTCACGTTGCTGAGATTAGTAGGAAGGTGCCTTGCACTCATTGAGATGTCTGCAGGGCTTCTTACCTCAGCATACAAAAATATCTCTCGTCCAAGCTCTCATTCTACCCATAATTGATTACGCCGATGCCTGCTACTTGGATGCCACTGAGGAGCTCTCAAATAAGCTTAAGAGGATGCAAAATCTATGTATCCGTTCTATATTATATACAATCTCAGAAAATTCGATCATGTTTCTTATTTTCGCAAAGAACTTAATTGGCTCCCTATACTTATGCCTTCGTAGGAATACTCGAATATTATGTCTCCTATTCAATATCCAACACAAGCCCACTTCTCCCTTATATTTACGTGAGCGATTCTCTTTCATTCGTTCTCCTGATGCTCCCTGCAGATCAAACCAACGTTCTGTCTTGTTATTCCCTTCCCACAAAACCAATTTCTATTCTCACGCCTTTACTGTGCACGCGGTCAGACTGTGGAATTCGTTGCCGGCTGACATCCGAGTTTGCAAGTCATTGTTACGTTGTCTATACTCGTATGATCGTTGTCTATACTCTTCGTATATACTGTGTTACTTATAATATTTTGTATTCGAGTTTAACAATATTTGCTATGTGTATGTGCATTACTATAATTCTCATGTTGTATTTGTTATTTTAGTTATATGTTATTTGTTCTACACACACTCATCACTTTTAATTATTATTCTCATAATCCTCTCGCAGGTCTGCTGGAAGAGATTTCTTAAAAAAATAAGCAGTGCCTTTGTACATAATTTTCCTATTATTCTGTACTATGTATGTCTTGTTTTCTGTATGTACATAAATAAATAAATAAATATTTTATGCTTTTAATATTTGTGTCAAATAAAGACAATCTTGTTAATTATAATTTGTTTCTTTTGTTGGTATAAGTCTCCCAGAGCGGTAAGTGATGGCGCCCTGAGATCCTCCTCACAGAGTCTCCTGTTCATCGGTTGTCTACCG